TCAGGCGAGTTGGTCATATTTTTTCGGCGCAGCTAAAGTTGTCTGGGCACAGCTCGATCTGAGAGATTACTAAAAACCGCGAGGGATTGACAAATTTTGCATATTGCAGAAAAATCAGACATTTCATTGAGCAGAAGTGTTTTTTTTACGGCCTTTTGAGTCCTCTGTTTTTAGTCTCACTAGATCTGTGCGCGCTTATCTTTTTATTGTGAAAATGAAGAAATCGAATTTATTAAACTTCATATACTCGTAGATGTTTTATAAATATTGATAATGACTTAAAGAGAATTAAGAGAATGAAGAGTGAATCATCAATGAATAATTTTTAATTTTCGATTAATTCTTTTTTTTACTTTTTAAAATAATCTGATTAAAATCTGTAATTATTGAAAAATTAGGGAAAGGTTATGAATTAACTTCCCAGAAAACTGAAAAAATTTCTTGAATTCTTCGGAAAATTCCAGTTTTCCAGATAACCGTAGCTCTTCAAAGATTTTTCTCGAATTATTTGGGAAACCGACGAATTTTCATGAATTTTGTAGAGTTCAGAATTTATGTATAAAAATCTGAGAAGCAAGAATTGATCATTTGTGCGTATGATAAATATGAAAAAATTAAAATTTGGGAACTGCAGGATACTTTGCGAGTTAAAAAAATTTAGAAATACTGTTTTTTTTCTCATGGTGAACAATCAGAAAATTTAGATATGTGTTGATATAAAGACAAACTTCACACATGAAAAAATTGAAAAATGTGATGCAGAAAATTTTTTTGGAATCTGAAGAATTTGAAAATTCCGGGGATTTTTTTCAGCGACTACTTACTTCACGTGAGTCATTGACCAATCAGAATTGAGGATTAGCGGTCAGGCAGTATCAAGATATTTCGATACAAAACAACTTCGTTTCTTTCATCTTTAGTAAATAAGGAGGATTTCGGCACTCTATCCAACCCTACACGTATAGGCCTTCTAGCAGAAGTTTATCCTTCGGAGGGTACCCCCACTCTACGTAATTTCCACACATATGCTTGTCCCCCACTCCAAAAATCCACGGATATTCTTCTGGAAGACAGCCTATATAAAAAAAGCGTGTAGAAATTTTCTATGAGAATTGCGTATAAAAATTCTATAGGATTTCCGTGTATGATCTTCGGATATTTCTATACGAATTATTTCTGTACATAAATTTTTACATAAATTTTTGTATTTATACGAAAGATGTCTAAACGCTTCAGAGCGGAGCTCCAGAGCGGAGCTCCAGAGCGTTTAGACATCTTTCGTATAATTACAAAAATTTATGTAAAAATTTATGTACAGAAATAAAATCATAGTAATAGAAAGGTGCAAATTCTAATAGTATTGCAAAATATTACGAATCTAATGATTGTCGACTGATCGCTGATTCATATTCATTCATGGTCTCGACTATGACAGGAAAAGAGAAAGGAATAGTAAACTGAAAATTAAAAAACAACAAAAATCCATTCGTATGAAAATTGCTAATTTATTAGGAATAATGACTCTACTCATGCATGAAAATATACAATTATCGACTCATTTCTTTTTCAATGTGATGTGTGTTTTAGTTTTTCAAACAAATAATGTTGAAACCCCGCGTTTAACACAGCGTCTTATGAGAAAATCAGTAATTTTGAACGTTTCGAGTGCAAAGAAACAGAAGAACCTAATTTTTTTTTCATTGACTGTTAGAAAGCCCGAGATTTTTGAATATCGTTCTTCAAGGACATTTCAACGTTTTTTTTACGGAAAGAAAATGTAATAGAGGCGGGATTGTTTTCCTTGACATCGAATGGATTATCTTATCTTTTATCAGAGCACCTTCATTTTACATTAAATATTGGCTTTGGAGACACTGATAAGCTCCTTTGTAGGGAGATTTTGATAATTTACATGAAAAGACGAAGAGTGTGTCAGTGTCATGGGTCAAAGTCATGAAATTAGAGAAAGACTCCGTAGCTACTGATCAATTCAATATGAATATTCAGCGTTGTTAGAAAAAAATGAAATTTCATGGACAGTTGACTATTAATTTCCAGGACAGTGACACTGAATGCGGTTGAAGCGAATAAATGTGAACTTTCAGTTTTCACTGAAAATTCAGTAAAACTCCAGAATTTTCAATCTAATATGAATATTCAGTGCCAAATTACATTAAATTTTCAGTGAAATCTTAAATTTCATAATTTTTCGCCCTAAATCGCATTTAGTGTCAATGTCCTGAATATTAAAGAATATATTTACCGGAATTTTCTGGTTTTCTATTCAGTAGCGAAGCGGTAAACCGGGTTAAGTCGATTTTGACTATTAGCCAGTTTTTGACGAATATCTTGGAATCTAAAAGAGATAGAAAAATTTTTGTTATGACCTTTTTATAGCCCTTAATTGGTTCTACAAAAAAGGTCATGAGAAAAATTTTGCTATCTCTCTTAGGTTATGAGATATTCATCAAAAACTGATCAAAAGTCAAAATCGAGTTGACCCGGTTTACAGCTTCACTACTGTATTCATTTTCAGGGAAAAATGGAACTGAAATTTACAGTTTTCTTTGATTTTTTCACTAAATTCTGAATTTTCAATGACGAAATTCCTTGAAATTTCGGTGGTAATAAATTCGATAAAAATTTCCAAAAAGTATACCGGAAATATCAAACAGAAATTTTTATAGTGAGTGCGGCAAAAGGAATCCTGTTTTATTTATCAGTGATTTCCAGAAGAAACTTGATAATTCCCAAATTTGACGTGAACTTTAGGATTTCCTTGACTGAATTAACACGATTTTTCGGTCTAATTGAGTTGAATTTTTAATAAATCAAAAGTCAGGAAAGCAATTACTTAAATTTTCGCAATTTTTATTCATTTTTACTGAATAATTGAACTGAAATCCGCAGTTCCTATCGACTTTCCCATTAAACTGTCATTGTTCAATGACAAAATTTCTTGAATTTCCCAGGGAATTCATGAATTTAAAGTAGAAATAAGAATATTAACTGCCAAATTGAGATTTCCAATTAATAAACAAGTCAGGAATGTATTCACCTGAATTTTCCAATCACAAAATCATCTGAAATTCCAGTAGAAAAGTAAAAACAGGAGTCCTCAACCCCTTCACACAGCCATTCATCATGAGCAACGCCCAGAAACAATGTGATTAATCGTTATCACAGTATCAGTCAACTATCAAAAAAGAGTAATTACTTCGTGGAATGAGAACGCCCCACATCCCACTAAAAATCGATGAAACATATGGAGAACAGGGATGGCCCTCAATCTTCCGATTCTTCGATATTAAAGGAATTTCCGACTTGCATTGATCAAGTTTTAAAAATACTAATCGAAATTAAAAAATGTAAAATAATTGATAATCTAAGTATCCAATTGATGATGAATTAAATATTTAAAATACGGAGCTATAAATTTTCTATTACGTAGATAACACTAAATTTCTTACAAGGGATTCCCGATTATCCAAATAATCGTTAATCTTCCCAACTCAGTTTTTCAAATTTGACAATTTAAATTGATGATTACCCCAATAATTGAAATTTTTAACTGATATTAACTAATTGACTACTTAATAATTTAACAGTAATTATAATTCATGAATAGGGCTATCTCTGATGGAGAAAGGGTCGCAAAAAGGCCCTCTATATTCAATATTCCACTTCAATCCGCAGAATGAACGCAGTTAAATACCCACTGCGACCTTCGAACCGCCGGAATTCGACGCACTTTAAACCGGTAAAATCATAATGGCTGCAGTGGTCCGGGATCGCTCCACTTACCCCGATAATTGCAAATGGACAGAACGGAACTGTTTCAAACAACCGAAATGAAGGGAAAAAAAATGCAGATACAATACGACCCAGTTCTTCCAGTAGTTCGCGATAGTGAAACATTCCGCCTTTCTTTTTTCATGCCGCATAAACTCTCTACGTCACTCCCGTCATCGTCAAGTCCGCCCATTCATCGAAGAACATTGAACACTAATTAGGGTTTTTTTAAATTATTTTATTACACTTTACATCATTTTTATGATTTGTTGGAGGAGAGGGTGCGGCGAAATGGACATTTTTTATTTCTATTTATTCACTTATTTTTTATTTATTTATTCACTCACTTTTATTCATTCATTTGTTTGTTTATTTATTTTGACGATTGATACATTATACTATGTGACAGGGAAATCTCTGAATACATGAATAATGCAGAGTTTATGCAAATACGTCGCAGAAAACCAGAATTGAAAATGTAAAAGCAGATATTTCTCAGCAAAAATAAGGAAGAAGTGAAGCTCAGCACAACAACGATATTCAAGAGACAAATTTGGAACAAAATAAATTTAAAAAATAGATCTAAATTTTGTTTTGTTTTTGTGATGAACGTTTTCAACTCGGAACCACTGAATTAAAATGATGAGCTTCTTGATTTTTTTCAATAAAAAAAATTATTCCATTTCATCAAAATCTCAATAAATTATTAACATTTTAAAAAATTCCAAAATGTTGTTTTTTTCGTAAATAACTCAATAGTGAAGCGGTGAAATGGTCTAATTTTGAATATTGGGCGGTTTTTAGTGAATATCGCGGAATCTGCGGCAGATACCAAAATTTTTGTAATAACCTTTTTTGTAAAGCGAAATAAGAGCTACAAAAAAGGTCATTATCAAAATATCGCTATCTCCGTCGGATTTGGAGATATTCCTCGGAAACTAAGAGCTCAATCAACTTGAATCGTTTCCTAATAAAAAAATTTTACTTCATGGCTATTGCCTGCAATTATTTGCTGCTGAGTCTCGCCACACAATTAATTAAATAAACAAATGAATTCTGCTCCACTGACCAGTGCAAAACTTCATAATTCAATTCATTTCCCACGTTTTCGTTTTTTCCACTAAAATTGCATTTTCTAATTTTTGTTATTTTTAATTCCCCTCCGATAAAATTGCAGCATCACTCATGATTTTCCCTGATTTTCGCAGAAACTGAGCGCCCCAGTAATTCTCCGTCAGTTGTCGTCCGAATCAACTGACCTGAAGAAGATCCTCACGGAAAAAATACCGCAGGAGCAGGAGCGGATCAAGGCCTTCAGGAAGAGCCATGGCTCGACCAAAGTCGGCGAAGTCACCGTTGACATGGTATGACATATCAAACGTCGTTAGTTTAAATTTAATTTGCATGATTAGTCTCGAACGAGACACTGTATTTATCGCACCACGGTGTGATGCCACGACAATCTTTCTCCCCGTCTCTCTCCCTTCTTTTCTCTCGTGATACTCACATTCATCACTGATTGTGATTGCACGAGCCTCTCGTCTCAATGTGTTGCACTCAAGTGCACATGTGTGGCGAGAAGCAAGGTTATTGCGGCAGAGCGCGTGCCAATTCTATGATCGTGATAATGTCATCAGTGACGGGGAACGCGGCTTTCCTCTGAGTAACTGATACACTAGATTTTTTTGTTAATTGAATGTAACTGCCTCGGGGATCATGATGTTCGTTGTAATCTGAGTGAGCGATCAAATTGCTTTTCAGGAGAATTTATTTCTGATTTTTTTGTGGTCAGACAAGTTCAATGTTGACATTTGGAATAAAATTGTTTGGAATATTAGATAATTAACCGACGTGACACTAAGATAGATTTCATTGTGGGGAATTGATAATAAAAAAATTAATTGTGTGAATTTTAATCCAATATAGTAATTAAAATTCCTGGAAATTATGAAAATTCAAGCGATTGTTTCAATTTTCAACTCATACATAAGAATTTTGATAATTGAATGTAACTGCCTCGGAGATCATGATGTTCGTTGTAATCTGAGTGAGCGATCAAATTGTTTTCAGGAGAATTTATTTCTGAATTTTTTGTGGTCAGACAAGTTCAATGTTGAAATTTTGAATGAAATTGTTTGGAATATTAGATAATTAACCGACGTGACATTAAGATAGATTTCATTGTGGGGAATTAATAATAAAAAAATTAATTGTGTGAATTTTAATCCGATAAGGTAATTAAACTAAAATTCAAGTGATTGCCTTCAATTTTCAACTGATGTACAAAATTTTTTTGATAATTTACCTCATTTTTCCATTACAAAAAAAAAACTCAACAGAACATTGCTTTCAACTGCAACACATGAGCCAAACCAAAAACTAAATACTCAATGTATAATTCAACAAGACTTTATTCATTTTTAATTATTTTGAATTTAAAGTTTTTAACGACGAAAGAGGGGAAACGAGGGGTTTTTATTTATTTGCTCAGTCTATCAAAAGAATAAAGAAAACCCTGATGAGTGTTTCCTTTCCTCGAAACCGAAACATTGGGTCATCGACAAGAATTCTTTTCGTTCTAATCATTTAATCATCCTCGAAGTACTGACGACCGCTTAGGCCAATTAACGCCCATCACAATTCAACATGAACGAGGGGAAAGTAATGAAATTTGGGTAGTAATGTAGGAGAATAATTAAAAAAAGAAAAAGAATTCTTGTCGATGAGCCGACGTTTCGGCCCCCGGGGAAGCCCTCATCAAGGCTTTCTTTATTCTGCTGATAAACCCATTCGTCGTCAAAAAGTTTAACTTCAAAATACTTAAAAATAAATAAATTCTTGTTGTATTCCATTCAACTAAATTTGGCGAATCCCAGTAAAGCGAATACTTTGCTTTCCAAAGAAAGAAGACTTTCTAAACCGCAAAACTTACAGCCATGAGGTAAAATCAAGTATTAAATACTCAATTAAAATAACTATTTCAACCCAACAATTGCAATCCCGTCTCACAATCCAACTTCAGTGACTTTCTCCTCACTCTTAACCCATTTAAGGCCCGGGTGTACTATCTTTCGAACGTTATCTCGATGTTTTTTTTCATCTTTCGTCATCTGAAATTGTCAATTGAATCCGGCATCATGCAGAAGTTTTGAAAAATTACGAATGAATAATCAAAAAAAAGTAGAAGAAATTCTTAATTTTTTCAAAGAGCATTTTTAATTTATATTGAAAATAAGTTGAATAACAAGAAATTGAAAAATTTATCTGATTTACGGTGACAAATGACAGCCTGTCACCCAATATCATGCATGGGGGAAGACTGATTTCGTAAATCTTTTTCCACACTGCACAGAGACATTTATTACGGAAAAGGCTCTTTGAAAAAATTTGTGATATTTTGGAGAATTTTTTAATCACACTTTTATCACATAAAAATGGCAGATGACTACCACTGTTTTGAAAATTGAGATATCTAGCTGTCACTTCCCATGAGGAGTTAGTGTTTTGTTATCCACCATGAAAAATGTCAGCCAATAGATAATTTGCCACAGCGAATCAGATATTTATATTTTCCACATTTTTCAACTCATTCTGAATCTCAATTAAAAACGCTCTTTGAGAAAGTTCAGAATTTTTCAATTTTTTTTTATCATTCCATCATAATTTTTGGGAATCTCTACCTGATGTACCACTTAATTGACAATTTTGGATTACGAAAGATAAGAAAAATTCAGATGACATTCGAAAGATAGTACACCCAGGCCTTAAACTAATTTTCATTACCTAAAAACCCCACTACCGGCACCACCCATTGAATCAAAATACTGAATGAATTCCCAGATGTACGGTGGCATGCGAGGGATAAAGGGTCTCGTGTGGGAGCCCTCAGTCCTCGACGCCGACGAGGGTATCAGATTCCGTGGCAAATCGATTCCCGAGTGTCAGAAGCTCCTGCCAAAAGCACCAGGTGGTGCTGAGCCCCTGCCCGAGGGTCTCTTCTGGCTCTTGATCACTGGTGACGTACCCACCGATGCTCAGGTCAAAGCCATCTCCAAGGAGTGGGCAGCCAGAAGCTCACTACCCGCTCACGTTACCAAAGCGCTCAACGATTTCCCAAAGCATCTCCATCCAATGTCCCAGTTCTCAGCTGCCATCACAATTCTCAACAGTGAGAGTGAATTCGTTAAGGCTTACAGCAGTGGTACCCACAAGAGCAAGTACTGGGAGTCCATTTACGAGGATTCCATGAATCTTATTGCCAAACTGCCAGTCATCGCTGCCACTATCTACCGTAATACTTATAAGAATGGAAAGGGGCTGGGGTCGGTTGACAGTGGAAAGGACTGGTCGTGGAATTTCGCTAATATGCTGGGATATGACAATCCTGAGTTCATTGAACTCATGAGACTGTACCTGACCATTCACTCTGATCACGAGGGAGGCAATGTTTCGGCTCACACTGTTCACTTGGTTGGATCTGCTCTTTCGGATCCCTATCTGTCCTTCGCTGCTGGTATTTATTACGTTTATTCGTTTAGAGCCTGTTGCACCAAGCCCTGTTGGCCAAATAATTTTTTCATAATTTTTCATAATTTTTTCATTTTTTTTTTCATTGAACCATTCACATGTACACTGGGAGAAAAACAGCAGACTTATCAAACAAGTCTTACTTGTGTGAAAAAAATCGTTTGTTAAAAATGATTAAAAAAGGATTTTTTGTAACAAATATGCGAAGCCTACGCCGAGATTGACAATTTTTATTGCAAAAATAGATTTAGTGTTGAAAAAAAATTGTATTTTCTGTGCAAGGAAGAAAGGTAATTTCTGGCACTACTTCTTCGAGGACTAGTAGTTTGTCGTTTCGGCTATTCAATAATCACAGATAAAAAGTGAATTCTTAAATGAAATAATAATAATGATATGACACAATCTTATAACTTAAAAATATTTCAGTAGCGAAGTGGTAAAACGGTACAAGTCAATTTTGACTATTGACCAATTTTCAATCAATATCTCAGAATCTAAGGGATATAGCAAAATTTCTGTTATAACTTTTTCTGTGGAGCTGATTGATTGCTACAACAAATGTAATTGCGAAAATTTTGCTATCTCCCTTAGATTCGGAAATATTCCTCAAAAACTTAACTGGGAGATGAGTCGACTTGAACCCTTTTACCACTTCGGTACTGATTTCTTGATAAAATTTTTTTCTACAAAAGATATTTTTATCTTGAAAAGACACCGTTTTGTCCGAATGATCCACCTCTTGAGCCAAATATTTCGTTGTTGTTGAATGCAGAACAATTATTTATGTTTGAGACTTTCAATTTTGAAACAATTTTTTTTTAGTAATTTTCAACTAACGATTTTCTTGGCCCAAACAAGATTTGTTTGAAGACTGGATCGTTTTTCTCTCAGCGTACAAGTTTACTCGGCTATAAAAAAAATTACATATATGCGTTACAGTATGTGAACACATATTTTTGTTAAATCTTTGGGTTGATTTGTCTCAAAACTGAACCAATGGCACATCGAATGTTGTTATGTATGTGTGTAGGTATGAATGGCCTTGCTGGACCCCTTCATGGTCTGGCCAATCAGGAGGTACTCGTTTGGCTGGAGAAACTCAGGTCGCAGGTGGGAGATGCACCCAGTGACGAGAAGCTCAAGGAGTTCATCTGGAATACTCTCAAGAGTGGACAGGTTGTTCCTGGGTATGGGCATGCCGTTCTCAGGAAAACCGACCCTAGGTACACCTGCCAGAGGGAGTTCGCTATGAAGCATTTGCCTAATGATCCACTATTCAAGGTTTGTTGTTTTATTTATTGAATTTTTTCGGGAATAACATAACACAAAATGAATACATTCTTAGTTATTATTTTTCATTTTTATATTTTTTATTTCCTCCAGATAATTATTGGATGGTCTTGAGAATAATAAATATAACATTTTATTTTTATTAGAAAATGAAAATGAAAATAATTGAATTAAAATTTTATGGTTATTTTTATTTCAATTTTATTATGTTAATTGAATTAAAATGAAAAAAAATGTCAATTTATATCTTCTAAAATTATTCATTCCACGAAGAAATCATGAATTTAATTGGATTTATCATTGTAATTCAGTATTTTTCATAAAAAGTCAATTGTTCGCACTAAAAATGATTTTTCTAAATCACAATAAATTTATTAATACTCAAAATTCTATCAAAAATCGATTTTATGCTCAAAAATGCTTTTAAATCTCTGAACAATTCCTATAGGGATTTCCTTCTTTTGAACATCAACCAAAAAAAAAGAATTCACTTGAATTTACTTATTCAAATCAATACCCCATAGAAACACTTCTTTCTCGCAATTAAACCATAATCATAATCAATTTATATTCAAAATTCTCCCAAAAATTGATTTCATGCGAAAAAAAAAATTGTCCGCCAAGAAAACAAGTTTCGTTTAATTAACTGATTTAATTTGCAAAAAATCTTTGCAAATCCTTAAAATCAATAGCTTCTTTTTAAATGAATGTTGTCCGCTTCTCATTTTTCTCATTATTCTCTCGGAATTTATCGATTCAGTGTATATATACATATATACTCACCTCAATGGTATTTCCTCCCTGCAGCTGGTGTCCCAAGTCTACAAAATCGTTCCTCCAATTCTCCTTGAAACCGGTAAAGTAAAGAACCCATGGCCCAACGTAGACGCCCACTCTGGTGTTCTCCTCCAGTACTACGGAATGAAGGAGATGAACTACTACACTGTCCTCTTCGGAGTCTCCCGAGCACTGGGTGTCCTCGCATCACTCGTGTGGGACCGTGCTCTTGGTCTACCAATTGAACGCCCCAAATCCCTCAGCACTGATCTCCTCATGAAGGCCGCCAAGGCAGCCTAAATGATTAATCATCATGTTTACTTAATTATTACGTTCGTATCAAACATCCAACATCAGCAGTGCGAATCGATCAATGAATTGTCGAGTAGAATTCTAATTTATTTCTCGTAAGTTGTCATTTTCCCTTTCTTCAGCGTTCATTTCAGCACCTCACTGTCAGTTTTCGGTGGATATCTCTTTTGCTACGTATTTAGCTCCAGATATATTCCACGATTACTGAGATTTATCTCCTTGTGACTATTACTAAAATTTATGAGCGAAAAAAAAACCCATCGAAACGACAATTCATCCTGCAATGTCATCCGCATTTAATTGACGAGATTCGCATTTTCATGTTGTTTCAACTCATTAAAATCGTGATGACGGTTCTAGGAAGATCTAGAAGCAACGAAAGAATAAACAAATTGAGAATAAAAACGACAGACGCAGCTTGAGCGATGCTGTGAAGATAATACTTGTAGGAAACAATAGAACTGTAATCTAGCTACTGAATTTAACCATTATTGCCTAGACATTTTGGAATTCCGTGGTTGAATTTCCAGAATTATTTAAACAAAAAGAAGTGAAGAAATAGACAAATAAAACGATTTAGAAGAAGTCATTGAACGGAATAAGAGTAGGAAAATTATAATGGGACAGCAGTGCTGAATGAAAAATTTGGTACTGCTACTAGTCTGGAGCGTTTTACCGAGTTTCATCCAGTTGACGAAATATTTACGAGTCCCTCAACAGCTCAGCCCGTAGTATTCGTAATTCATAACGTAAACCAATGGCTAAAGCACGAGTTGATGTTTTTTTTTCGTTAATTTCCACGCCCTCACCATTGTCATCGTAGCGATTCCGCAATTCTGTGAGGCTTCAAAGCCGTTATGCGTAAATTTTGTTTTCTTTCTGTGTGTACATTGAGACGATAATGCATGACCGATGGTTTATCTATCGTTATGATGAATGAATGAGTGTGTGACATGTAATTTATATAAACAATTTTAAGGAAGTCGTAATAAAGAAAAAGTCCCATGAATTTATTGCATTATGTTTGTTGCTCATTTTATTAAGATAATTTCAGTAATTATCCCCTCGACAATCTCATGGAATTGAATGGGAGATACTTCACCATCTACTCAGGATTTTTACTATATTTAGAAATCCATTGACTTTAATTAACAGAGAGGAGTTCGTCAGAATTACGAAAGAATGCTTCTTAATCGTCAATGGATTGACATTAATGGAATTAAATTGATCAAGTTTTTGCTTTTTTACTTTTCCAAGTTTTAAAAGGAAACCAAGTTTATTCGAGTCACAATATTCCACATATGGAAAAATCAACGGAATTCTGTGAGAATCTACTGGAAATTCAGACGTTTGATTTTTCAATAAAAAATTGGGAAAAAAATCCCTGGACATTAAATTTCCCCATTCTTTCCACTGTATTTTTCCTTTTTCATTACAAAAACCAAGAAAATAAAATCAGAAAAATTTGCATTGAATGAATTGTAGAAAAAAAAAAGAATCTGCAATTTTATAGGAAAGTTGCAAAAAAGAAATAGAAATTTCCATAGAATTTATTTTTTCTGGAAAAAAAAATTCACTTTAAATTGAAAATACGAATGGAAAAACATCATATAACAACAACAACAACAATAATAATAATAACAAATGGATGGGATTTCCAAAAGAATTCCTTCGTCTCTAGAAAAAAAAACAATTCAATTCAAGCAGAATAATAAAAGAATAGAATTAGAAAATCAGCCCTACCCTCTCCCAGTCATGCAAGATGAATAAATGATTTAATTAATTAAATAATGGATAAATGAATTAATCCGCATGAAAAAAATCAATCGTAATAAATAAAAAGTTTGACGAATCGATTGCATCATATTTATTATTCATTTTATACATGATAATTCCATTAACTTTACCCTCTCAACAAATTCATAGACAAAAATTACATCTACACCATCATTAATCCTCCATCTTTGACAATTTTCCATGGTTCTTTGTTCGCACTGAGACCAGTATTATAATACACAATGATCAATTACATTTTGATATTTTAACTATCTTAATACAACCAAGAAAATTCGGTGGTTTTACTTTCCAACATGTCCGTTGACACAGTACAAAGGGAAGTGATCAAATCAATGTGAAAAATCATGCGGCCTTTCTGCCACCAACGCCCGCATGAGACACTCCAGAGATAAATTCAAGGGGAGAAGAGTGTGATGATGAGCCCTTCACTAGTGTATTACTCTCAATTTCACCTATTTTCTCAATATGAGAAAAATTATATCATTTCTTTTATATTTTCACTGTTTTCATCAATGTCTCACTCCCTGTTTAATTAATGTGACGGCATCGTTAACCAACCGTTTGAACTATCTCGCACTCAGTTAAAACCCTTTCGTTATCCATTATCGTTCTACAGAAAAAATTATCTAGCAGAGTATTACTACCTACAGATCAATAAAGACGTATAATGCAAAAGGAGGAGAATAAAATAAAGACAGCTGTCGTTGTGGTATCTGCAATGCACCTCAAAGCACTTTGAGCTTGTTATTTCAACCAATTATTTTTCATAGAATTGTTTTTTTATTCTACCGGGGAAACGAAGGATATTGCTATTGTTGAGGGAACAACTGTCTCACTGTTAAAATCACGTTATCACAGAATAGTCTGCTCTGGTTCGAACTTGTTGAGTAACTTTCATTCATTACACAACATTTTCTCAACAAAATAGTCTACGTGGAGTGTCAGAAGAGTCCCTTCATTCTTTGAAGTATTTAATGTTTTGCATTTAGATCTTCTTTACAGAAATTATAATTATTACCATCTCATCACACGATATGCATATTGAATTATACTAAAACGAATGTGGAAACACAATGACACATTGTGTAATCTGATTTCAACGTTCTATAATTTAAACTTGTGAATGTTAATGTTTGTCGTGTGTAATTCGATAGGTATAATTTGAGAATGTGGAATTCAAGAAAATTAAAATCCAGTATAAATCTTGAATTATGAACGTCGAATTGCGCACAATAAATTAAACATTTGTCAAAATGAATTTAAAGTGCGTAATTAGAGTAATACATTCCAATTTAGTAATTTTTTGATCCTGTAATTAGAATATGGGGATTAAAATTTCTGTAGACAAGGTCTTAATGCAATTCATCACATTCTCAAATAATAAAGGGACTAAATGGCCTATTTTACAAGATTATCATTTTTTTATGTTTATCATTAAGCCCTTTTCTCCATTAAATTTAATGGTGACCTCCTAATTACACAACATAAATATTGAATTTTGTTGAATTCAAATATATAAACCCAATTTTACATTGTGAAATTTCAATTCCACGTTATATAATTCAAACATGTAAATGTTCAGTTTATTGTGTGCATTTCGAACCTGAATCCAATACAACTCTTCAATTATGAATGTCACATTACACACAATAAATTAAATATTTACAATATTTAAATTGAATTATATTGAATTGAAACGTATAAAGCCAATTTTACATTGTGCAATCTAAATTCCACATTGTATAACTGAAACCTGTAAATGTTCAGTTTATCGTGTGCATTTAGACAGGTATAATTTGAGAATGTGAAATTCAGATTGCGCAATGTATAATTGGAATGGCAAATAACAATTTCGTGGAATTCAATCTGTATATCATGCAATTAGAATGTGGAAATGTCTGAATGGAAAACATTACATTGCGTGCAACAGATCATTTTGTTAAGAACCTGCTCTCGCCGTTAAAGTACGCAATAATATATTGTTTTACAAATTCCGAATGAAACACGAAAACAAAATTCTCAAATGAAGAATAATCCATCCACATCCTAAACGCATTCTTGGTGTAAGAATATATTTTTTCCTCGACATTTTTGTGATGTTAATGGTTAAAAAATAATACTCCATGGATAAATGAGCAATTTGCTATCTACAGAATTAAACAGTACTTACTGAAGCTTATTTACAAAAATTAGTAGATGCATGTGAAGTTGCTCAACAGGTCGAACACTTCGCTTGTTGAATTATTAAATTCACGGCTTGAAAGGGCTCTCCATTCTCCCTATATCATTATGGAGGGTGGACGGGCTTCATTACGTACTTTGAATTACCTTATTTAACCGTAAATGAGTATCGACGATTGACTCCAATGCAACTAGTGGAACACGAATGAATTCAGTCGAGGCATCTCACGTTGAATTTCACCTTCAGCATTCTCCCGTCCACCAGATATTTCCATACACATGTTTCTTTGTATAATTTAAAAAAAATTAAAATCCTCACATACGATAGAACATAGTCAATTTGTACAACCATTATTGTTAGATTGCGGGTGATATAATCCGTCATGTTTTCTTGAGGCGTCCAACGATCCATTCGAGTCCTTGATAGAGTCTGGAAATGGACGTGGAATTTTAATGAACGATAAATAGAGCAATTCATCAATTAATGGGGAGGAGAGGGGCAAAATGGATGGCCACTTCCTCGAGATCAGCAAAGTGAAATTTTTCTAAAATTTTCCATTAATTTCATTATTAAGAATTTGATGGTCTAAATTTCTTCCAGTTTGAACATTTAGAAAAGAATTACATAAAATTACTGAAAAATTGCAATTATTGAAAATCAAGGCCTGTTTTATGAATATTTAATGAATAATTAATTTTAGAAATTAGTTTGGAGTTCATAAGTTCATTCAATTTTTATTTAATTATAAGAAATTGTTTGCAAATGTAATTTATGTGATACGGATTATTCCTGAATGTAATCAACAAATTTGATGATAAAAAATCTACAAATTTATCGTAGAAAACTGATTGGTTTTGTTATGTAGAAATACTGCTATAAAAATTAATGGAATAAAACTGAAACTAAATTAAGAAAATGAGATAAATTACGTTCATGGATTGAATTTTTAGTAGGACATTGTGTCATCACTAAAAATGACAGTTGATGTTGATGAAATTTACAGATTTGAGCTTTTATATAACTCAATCATAAAATAATGCACAAGTGGACAAAATTCATTAATAATTCTAATTAAAACCAGTTTTCAATACAACTGTAGTAAAAATGCAATAACTTTCGTGAAAATTAAAATATTCTCAAGGATTTTCTACCTAAAATATTGTACTTGTCAATAGTTTTGCTAGCCACTCTTCCAACGTTCAATTTTTTACCTGTAGTTTTATAGTTTTTATCAGACTTATTGCCCTAGTAAAAATTCTTCAAGAGGGCATTACGTGAGAATATTCATTTCCTTGTCTGATCCTATCCGTTGAAAAATAATCTCCACCGAATAATGCATTGAAATTTACTAAATGTACAACTGGACAAAATTAATAAATAATTCTAATTAAAACCAGTTTTCAATACAACTGTAGTAAAAATGTGATAACTTTCGTCAAAATTAAAATATTCTCAATGATTTTCTACCTAAAATATTGTACTTGTCAATAGTTTTGCTACACTCTTCCAACGTTCAATTTTTTACCTGTAGTTTTATAGTTTTTATCAGACTTATTGCCCTAGTAAAAATTCTTCAAGAGGGAATTACGTGAGAATATTCATGTCCTTGTCTGATCCTATCCGTTGAAAAATAATCTCCACCGAATAATGCATTGAAATTTACTAAATGTACAAGTGGACAAAATTAATAAATAATTCTAATTAAAACCAGTTTTCAATACAAATGCAGTAAAAATGCAATAACATTCGTCCAAATTACAATTTTCTTAAGGATTTTCTTTCTAAAATATTGTGATTTTCATCAGAGATTACGCATTCTTCCAACTTTCAATTGTTTACCTCTATTTTTATCATTTTTACCTTATTGCCCTCGTAAAAATTCTTCAAAACGGAATTACGTGAGAATATTCATCTCGTTGAGTGATCCCACCCGTTAAAAAATAATCTCCACCGAATAATGCATTGAAATTAATTAAATTAATGCTCACCCTTCCCCAGTGAGTGCACAACAACTCTGTATATGCCACTGATGTTTCTTGATCGATGTCAAGTCGAGCTGTCTCGATATCTCAGCTGCACTCATGCTCCCCTTCAAATCTTGTTTATTAGCATAAACCAAGACATTGGCCTTGCTCAATTCCTCGTGATTCAGCATGGAATAGAGCTCTTCCCTAATGACACTGAGTCTCTCCCTGTCTGTACTATCAATCACCATGATTATGAATTCGGTGTTGGTGTAGTATGTAGACCAGGCGGCTCGTAAACTCTGCTGTCCCCCCAAATCCCACATTATAAAGTGGATATTTTTCCACACTACTTCCTCCACGTTTGAGCCGATTGTCGGTGACGTGTGGACTACTTCGTTCATTAGAAATTGGTAGAGAATCGTTGTTTTCCCGGCGTTATCGAGACCCACCATCACAATCTTGTGCTCTGGAAATTTATTGGCTATTGAAGGATGTTTATCCAATAACGCAAAGACTTGAGAAATTGTTTCTATTTTTCGATTAAGAGAAGACTACTATAAGTTTTTAATTCGTGGCCTCTGGAGGGAGATTTCTCATGCATTGAAGATCGATTATATGTGTCTAAAAACGAATAATTAGTGCAAAAATTAATTTTTTATTGCTCGGTTGCCCCGCAGATGCTTGAAATGTTAAAAATAGTTCAGAGCCTCTGATTTTTGAAAAAATTTGTGTAATAAAAATTACGAATTAGTTTGTTGAAACTCGTCTCCTACACAACTAGTTCTGTTTTGTTGAATATAAAAATTTGCGCCATTCATGTAAAATAGGCAGAACAATTATCCTTGAAATATTCAAAATATATTCTCGATTCTTTCCGAAACATTTTTCGGGCTAATTTAAATGAATGATGCGATTTTTTATCAAATATATAAATAAATTTGTTATGTAAATGAATTTTAGTTCGTCAAAGCTACTGTCACAGATTTTTCTTCATTACTAGAAATTTGGCTTCATATGTTTTCTCATCGGTCTGAAAAATTACAGATTGTTCCTCCAGCATGAACCAATTCCATTATCGAAAAATGGATAAACATTCGGAATTCTCGTATATTTAAATAATTATTTACACAGGCAAATTAGAGAAACTTTTTTGCAATCTCATAACAATTTAGGAAGACGTCTGTTTTCCTGAAGAATTTACATTTTTAGGTTTATTTTTGTTTATTTTCTAACTTTTTCTGAAAACTGAGTTTTCGAAGAAAATCTAAAAATTCATAAAATTACACTTGGAAACGTTCACCATCAAAATTATGAAATTCTCGTAAAACTATTAATTGTCCACTCTCTCCTACTCTTCTTAACCAATCGAATTAAACTTCCCAAATTTCTAGAACATCGAAGCTCCGTACTAAAATATCCAGAGTCAATCATTACTTAAACAGGCCAATTAATCGAACTTGCTTGCAATCTTAAGAAAATTCAAGAAGCCTTCGGTTTCCCTGAAGAATTTACTTTCTTATTTATTATTTATTATTTACCCGCTTATTTTCTTATTTTTCTGAAAAAGGAGTTGTCGAAGAAGATTTAAAAATTCATAACATCCCACTTGAAAACTTTCGCCATCAACATTATGAAATTCTCCTAAATTTCTAGGACATTGAAGCTCCATGCTAAAATATCCAGAGTCAATCCTACGTAGCCAGACAAATTAATGGATTTTTTTGCAATCTCAACAAAATTGAAGAAAACATCAGTTTTTCTGCAGAATTTACTTCCTTATTTATCCGTTTATTCCTGATTTTCCTCAAAAATGCGTTTTAGAAAAAAAAACCTAAAAACTCATAAAATCCCACTTGAAAATTGTCGCCATAAAAATAACGAAATTCTAGTAAAACTACTAAATTGTCGATTCCCTCCCCCTCTCCCCAAAAACCAGTGATGCATTAACGATCAAAACGAGTGATAATACAGTTCCACATTCCCACATCCTAAAACGCAACAAAAACATGAGACTTTCACCCCGAGTGAAAGTCTCCATATCCAAGGATGTGGAATTCAACCTAATAAATCGATGGCATTCAATAACAATTTCCGACAGTACGTGCCACCAAGACATAATTAGTTTAAAAAGATAAAGTGTAAAGTACAATCCAATTACTCGTTGGAATGATCGATTCTTGACGTACGAAATCGGAGCAGCTGATGAAATACCCAGTATTTGCATTACGATTTACTCCAGACAGGAATTCAAGCCACATTCGTGGAATAATTTTTAATTAAAATATGACTCACCTTCGTTGCCGAAGAGACTCCAAAGTTTGGCGAATAGCAGCCCCATTATCGTTTCAATTCACTCGAGGGAATTGTTCTTTTGATATCCAAGTCACTGGTACACTTGACAAAGATTTCGTGTTTACAAAGTTAATCCAAGGCTGTTATTCGATGATGAAAATGACAAGGTCTTGATTCTCAGGGAATTGGGGATATGTCATGTTGAACAGGGTTATGTTCGCCATTTCATGGGGGCGAAATGCCTTATCACTGCCCGCACTTATCAAGATTGAACAACTGCACTCGAGAATTTCATGAACTCGATGACTGGAAATCTCAGAGTGGAAATAATTTCTAATTAGAACTCGACAGAGTCACAGATTGCTGAGGGATTCTTTTTTATAGTGCTTGGGCAGACCACAGCTGGCTTTTGGCGCTAATCACATTGGGGTGTGTATTCATGGACTCCGATATTAGACGTCAGGTGCGGCCATTGGCTAGTGGGAATCCCACTGTTTTCTCGGTGACGAATCATTGCTGGAGATTTGTTGTTCTGCAGTGAGTGTTCGCCCTGAGGTGGGATGGGCGCGAGCTTTATTTTTGAATCCTTTAAACAATGAGAAGAAAAAAATACGACTGCAATTTTATGGAGAGTTTAGTAATAGTAATTGATAATTCGGCAACAAAATTGAATTGAAACATAAATATGCAATGCTAAATTCTTAATTTATTGGAAATTCAAGAATATATTTACCTCATTTTTCCAGATTATCGTTAATTTTTATAGAACAATTTGACTAAAAATAACAGGTTCACCTAACGAAGCGGTCGGTTAAAGTCGATTTTAACTGTTGGCCAATTTTCAATGAATATCTCGAAATCTAAGGGAGATAGCAAAATTATTGATATGACCTTTTTTGTAGTCCTCTATTTTCTCTACAAAAAAGTTCTTAACCAAAATTTTGTTATCTCTCTTAGATTCGGAGATACTCCTCGAAAACAGTCAAGCGCTAAATCGACATTGAAATTGAAATTCCAATTCTGCAAGTGTAAACACAGAATTTGAAGGCAACTCCTCCAGAATTCATGAAAAGAATCGAAGGCGTCGTGTAGTTCAGATCCCCGGTGTAAATGTTTAAAATAACGTAAACAATCATTAAATAAATAAAAAAACACGAAACATTTTTTTTTATTTTAGGAGAACGATTTTGTTTTTTTGAGAGAAATAACAATATAATTTCAAATTTTACATGAAATTCAATGAAATTCCAAATCTTTGAGCGGCGATGAGAGAATTCCCCAACTTAGCGCTAAATTTCAAATTCGTTAGAAATTCAAGAATATACAAGCCTAAGTTTCCTTTATTTTTATCAATTTTGATGCAATAATTGACCTAAAAGTTAGCATTTCCATTGATTTTTAATCAATTATAAATTTTTAATGACGAAATTCCTCGGAATTTCAGGAAAACAATGAGTTGTGCACCTGAAATTCCAGTAATACAACCGGTAGCTCCTCCGGAATTCATGAAAAGACTAAAAGCCACCGTGTAGATAGCCCCTCGGTGTAAAATTTCCAAAACAGCACAAACCAAATCCATAAAATAACTAAAAAAATGAAAAACACTCGACACTATTTTTCATTCGACAACTTTATCACTTTATTGATAAAGAAATAAATAAATAAAAGAATAGAAAACGCCTAATTAATTAAGCTTACGGATTGAAACAATGACATCCCTGTCAATCGGAAAGTCAAAAACTACATTTTATTATCATTAATTACGAATAGAAAAACAGCAGTTATGTACAATGTTTACAGTCCTGGCATGACGTAAGCAATGTTGTCAAGCATTTCGGCGAATATTTCAGGCCTAACGACGTCAGTCTCGGGGATTTGCTGGGTGAGACACATGAGAGGGCCCAGGGCACAGAGGAGAGAGTCCAGGAGGACTGAGAGACTCCCTGAGACAGCTATCTGTCCGTCGTGCTCCTTCAGGCGTTCTCCAATGATCGTTAGAGACTCTCCGAGGAGCTTCAGGTGTGCTGCAACGTCCACTGGCTGGGTTCCAATGACTTTGTACATTCCAGTCCCAACAATTGGCTCGTTCACCAAATTCTTCACTGCCCTCGATGGGGAGGACATTGGGACCATGTGCGAGGGCTTCTGCAGGACTATTTGGATCTTCTTCGGGGGCGGGGGACCTCTCATCTCTTTTCCATTACCTGGAACATGATGAAGTGAAATTTCATGGCACGCACGACAATATTTCATTGAAAAACCTTGCGCTTTCGCCAGAAATTTCTACCGAACTTCTACATTTCATCGGTCTTTCGTCGGTTCTATTGAAAAAATCAACAGCTTTTCTGGGGATTTTTTCAACAGAAATGCTCAATAGGAAAATATTTTATTGAAAAAATCAATAGAATAACTATTTTCATTTATTTATTACTAAAATTTTTGAAGGTTTTTGTATTTTACTTCCTCAATGAGAAAAAATTAAGTGAAGAGGACAATTCAGTAGTGAAGTAATTTCTGTAAGATCTTTTTCGATAGTCTTCACTTTTCTTCACAAAAAAGATTTTTAGGAAAATTTTGCCAACTCCTTTAGAATTTGAGATATTCATCGAGAATTGGCGCTAGAATGGAATTGACTTGAACCGTTTGACCACTTCACTACTGAATTTAGGCCAAGAAATCCCTATAGAACATGTATCAATGGAAAAGTTGGATAGAAATATCAAGTTCTATTGATTTTTTCTATGAAATTTTTGTCGTCAGTGGGGAATTGTTCTATGAGGAACGAGTGGGGTTAAATAAAAATAATGAGAGACTTTTTTTGCAGAGGAAATTTAATGAAAAAGGTCTCTTGATGAGTCGTCATGACATGACTCGTTATCAAAATAATTGGATAATTGATAAGTGAATTTTCAAATTGAAGAGGGATATGTTTCTAGATTTTAGACAGATGATTTTACAGTAGTTGCGTGTGAACAGCACTTTGGGGATGTCTCGCTGTTTCGAATATAAATGCGAGATTGATTCCCATAAATTCATTTGAATTAATCACTCTCATTCTAACCAATTTTATTGATAAACTTTTTCTTCGGTGACGGAGCTGGAGTCTTCCACATGCATTCGTCCCTCATTCTTTTGGCTCTTCTTCGCCAGTTGTACTTCTCAACGTTGGGAACGGTGGACCATAATTCCCCTAGGCGTTTGGAAATTGCAGCGAAATCTGGAGGGCAAGGACAAAAATTAGTAATTGTAATTTCTCGTAATTGTTTCCTGAGGGGAGACTGCAAAGAAATTTCAAAATAACTAGGGTCTTTAGTTATTGGGCTGATGAGTTCACTACTTCAGTTTGAATGGAAAACGTGAGAAAAAATTGGTGTTTATTTTTTGCAGTGAAGGAATCTTCAAAAGGGTCTTATGACGCAATTTCCGACTTACATTGATCAAGGTTTAAATATAATAATCAAAATTGAAAAATAGTAATATAATTGATAATCCAAATTTCCAATTGATGATTAATTAAATATTTAAAATGTGGAACTATAAACTTTGTATTGAGTAGATAATGCTAAATTTCTTATAAGGGATTTCGGATTATTCAAATAATTGTCAATCTTCCTAACTCAATTGCTGATGAATAAAAAATTTAAAATTTGACTATTTCTAAATAAAAATTTAAGAGTGATAATTTAACAGTAATTATAATTTATGAATATGACTATCCCTGGTTAAAACATGGCGAATATGTGCATAAATATACCGAGATGAGGATTTTTGAAAGTCTCATTCTTCGATTTTTGTTTTTCTTTTAAATTGTTCATTTTTAGAGTTTTTTTCAGATTTTCAAAATAATTTTTTTCATTGAATTCTGAATAAATGATTCGAAAAGTCTAATAAAATTCCCACTCTACTGATTTACGATCTAATTGAATATCACTATTTTTTTTTAATTTTCACCTCAGACAATTGAGAGAAAAATTTGAAAACTAAAAAAATTGAAATTTTCAAAAAGCTCATTTAGTTATGTTTGTGTATATATTATCAATCGGTTGAGAATTGCATCATGAGGACATCGTAGATGAAGGCACCAGCGATGTCGAAATTTCAGTGCAGTCTCTCCTTAATTACGAAAAAGTTGAGATTGGATTTACCCATGTAAGGACACTTCTCAGTCAACTCCTGACGAATTGCCTTGGACCAGAGCATGTACGCAGTGAACCTTGTTTTCTAAAAAAAATACTAAGTGTAGAAATTATTTCATTCATCCCAATATGGGATGGGGTGGTGGGGTGACATGGACACTTTTTACTCCTCTCTCAATATTCATAACTCATAAATAAATTGGTTAATTGTGTTCAATAGTGAAACGGTAAAACGGTGTGCGTCGACTTAGCTCTTAGCTTAGTTTTCGAGGAATCGTGGAAATACGTTGTCTCGTGCGAATGATGCCTCTTGAGTCAAATATTTCGTTTGTTTTTACAAACAGAGCAATCACTCATGTTTGAGACATTCAAATTCGAATCAAACAATTTTTTTTGATCATTTTCAATTAACGATTTGTTTGGCTCAAGCAAGGCATGCTTGAGAATCTGTTCGCTCTTCTCTGAGTGTATTAAACTAAATTATTTGTTTACAGTTTCCATTGTCATGCATTATGTAAACTATTTGGTTTTATCGACTAATTATTTTCTATATGAAAATAAACGTGATATGAACCGCATTAACTCGCGAAAATGTTTTTTTTTCTTGTAATTTTTAGTGTAACCATTTTTCTGAGAAATAAACATGCCTCTGGAGATAGCCCTGTATAGACCGAATCTTTGGGCTTCTTTTTGTCTAAATGAGATGGCTTTTCTCATTAGCTTTCAATCTTTCAGTGCAGTAGTGACCGCGTAGGCCAACATCCCCTTTTCATCAATTACTGGGTCAAAGAAAATACCTTAAGGATGTTCAAACATCTCTTACAGTTTGGTACAGACCGCACTATAGATTCAACGATTTGCCATCATCAAATTTGTCAATTAAATTGCGTGAGGAAAATTTAAAAAAATTATGAAGATTCAGCGTCATTGAAATTACATTTTGCACAGAATTATTATTTTTACATTCGTTGTTCATAAATATATAAGTGAAATTGGTTAGACTTTCGGAAATCTAATTTTTTTCAAACATGAATTCCCAGCAAGCGATTGTTAGGGTGGAAAATTGATTCTTCATAAATTATTTATGGAAAATGCTCGTAATTTTCAAAAATTGTAGTTTTCAAATTATTTTATCAATCTTCCTCCAAAAGTAAACTTTCACATTTTTTTCAGATTTTTAAAATATTTTCCAACGGTTCCATAGCGAAATTCAATTTCAGACCTGCAAAGTTTGAATAATAAAATCATTGTAAAATGTCCGGAATCTTAGAGTCAAATGAGGCTCAAACGAAAGTTCTCATCGGCGACAAGAGCAGAAAAAGTACTTGGATATCCTTAAAGTAGTTTAAACATAACTTGAATTTTGAAGATTAACACCTGTAATAAATTCTAACTGAAATTTCAAATTTCATTTTAAAATTGCTGGGAACAGAAACATTCTGCTTGAGTTTGTGTTCAATCGGTAGTCTAGTATTACTGGTAGGTAATAATTCATCTAGAAGTGAAAAAAAAAAGATGAGGCGTATGAGAAAATTAACTTTCCAAGTTAAATCGAGCGAAAATTGTGGTCCATTGAGCATGTTTAAACAAGAAACCCAAAAATTCATTGCACTGATGAAAAAGTAGCCAAAGTACTTGAATATTCTTAAAGTAGTATAAACATAACTTGAATTTTGAAGCTTAACATCTGGAATAAATTCTAAACGGAAATAACTGGGAGTAGAAACATTCTGCAAAAATAACGCAAAGTCTTATGAGAAAATTAACTTTCCAAGTTAAATCGAGCGAAAATTGTGGTCCATTGAGCATGTTTAAACAAGAAACCCAAAAATTCATTGCACTGATGAAAAAGTAGCCAAAGTACTTGAATATTCTTAAAGTAGTATAAACATAACTTGAATTTTGAAGCTTAACATCTGGAATAAATTCTAAACGGAAATAACTGGGAGTAGAAACATTCTGCAAAAATAACGCAAAGTCTTATGAGAAAATTAACTTTCCAAGTTAAATCGAGCGAAAATTGTGGTCCATTGAGCATGTTTAAACAAGAAACCCAAAAATTCATTGCACTGATGAAAAAGTAGCCAAAGTACTTGAATATTCTTAAAGTAGTATAAACATAACTTGAATTTTGAAGCTTAACATCTGGAATAAATTCTAAACGGAAATAACTGGGAGTAGAAACATTCTGCAAAAATAACGCAAAGTCTTATGAGAAAATTAACTTTCCAAGTTAAATCGAGCGAAAATTGTGGTCCATTGAGCATTTTTAAACAAGAAACCCAAAAATTCATTGCACTGATGAAAAAGGAGCCAAAGTACTTGAATATTCTTAAAGTAGTATAAACATAACTTGAATTTTGAAGCTTAACATCTGGAATAAATTCTAAACGGAAATAACTGGGAGTAGAAACATTCTGCAAAAATAACGCAAAGTCTTATGAGAAAATTAACTTTCCAAGTTAAATCGAGCGAAAATTGTGGTCCATTGAGCATGTTTAAACAAGAAACCCAAAAATTCATTTCCCTGGAGAAAAAATGGCCAAAGTACCTGGATATGCTCAAGATAGGAATCTAAAGAAATAGGAAAATAATCTAGAATAATACCAGCATCAGCAGCATCAAACTCACCCCTTTATCCTTCCTCTGCGCCTTGCTCCGTCCAATGATCTTCCCATCCTTGATGCAGACCTTCTTCCTGCTCTTCTCCATCATGTAGAGGCTGCTGGCCTGGGAGGGTGCTCCCTCATCCTCCACCTCGAGCTTCATGAAGCCCATCTCCTTCTCGTCAATCAGCAGAGGGTCCACCTCCTCCTCGGAGGGCGACTCCATCGAAAAACTGTCCTCATCATTCGTATTGCCCACATCCTCGAACTCAGTCTCTGATGTCTCAGTCTCCGACACCTCTTGCTTTATCTTCAGGGGCGAATTCAGTGATCCTGAATTCCTACTCCCACTCTCCCCATTACCACCCATTGCCACCTCGTAATGATCTCGAATGTGCACTCGCGGGGGCAATTTTTTTGATACTTTCCCTGGGCTATCAACTGGCGATTCAAAGTCAACGAGTTTCGATGATTTTTTTCTCACTCTCCCACTCCGAGATACTCCAGTCACCTCTAGATCTGCAAGGGTGCAGGGCAAACTGTATTTCGAGGTAATTACCCAGTAATTATCGAGTCAAAGGGATATTTTTTAATTAGTCAATCATATAAGAGCTATTCTTCGATTACGGAAGCCTAAATGTTCTGAAAACTCCTCGATTTCGGGTTTTACAGCTTTTTTGGGCCCTTGGGCTCCCGCTGGGGAAAATTGTTGGCTAAAAATTTTCGAATTGTCCACGATTCCGATTGGCGCTGGTGTTTCGGAACGTGAACCCTGGTTTTTCGGCTCGATTATTTTTTTGGGAGAATTTTGATTTTTTTTTGGGACCAAGGGCTGCGGATTTTGGGGGCTGAGAAGGGCGGATGGGGGAATTTTTTGAGCTCACCCTCGGACTTCTGGCGCTTCGGAGGTGAGTCTGTGTCCATGGCGCCGGCCAGCTGATTGTGAGAGGCTCGCGTGCGCCGCTGCGAGGTGCCTTGCGCGGGGTTATGGACGACAGGCTTCGTTATTTGAAATTTGGGAGAATGTTTTTGGGATAGTTCGGGGAGTGATGGCTTTTTGGGAGAAATTGGGGTCGCGGTGAGGAAATGACGGGGGGGGGGAGAAGGAGGAGTGGACAAACCAACATTACGACGAAAAATTTTTAAACTTTTTTTTTTTGGTATTTAATACGAATGTTATTTCCTTTTTAAAAAATTCTTGCATCGTTTTCTGTCAACGATCTATTCAGTTTAATTTAACTTTTTCCGTGGGTCTTATTAGAAGCATCACTATAGATACTTATAGTTATAATTAGTCAATAATAGTGATAATAGTAATATAAATTTATAAATAGTTGTATACAACTATAATTGTTTATAACTATAGGGGAGGGTGGGGTAAAATGGACACTTTGGAAGTTTTTTGAAATATTCATGATATGTTGAATTGTTTATGAAATGGAATCATTTTATTTTTCAATTGAAAAACAATGATTCCTCTTTGTGATGAGCTGAGACTGAGCTCAATTGATAAATCAGTTTCTGAGTTATGGATATTTTTAAAAACGTCAAGTGTCCATTTTGCCCTACCCTCCCCTAACTTAGAAACAAATTGATCAGTTGAGCTCAGTTTAGGCTCGTCACAGAGGAAAAGAATTGTTCTTTGTACTGAAAAAAAATTATTAAATTTTGTCAACATTTCAACCCCTCATTAACGTTTTAAAAAAAGTCCAAAGTGTCCGTTTTACCCCAACCTCCGCTACCCATATATATGTATAGTTATACCTATAAATATCGATGAATAAAAATTATTTCTATAGCTACAAGCTTTCCTAATGAAATTCCTACTAAAAAATGCAAAACTATGAAAGAAGGGAAAACTAATAGAGATGATTCGAAATGAAAAAAAGTAGCAAAAATTATTGTAAAAAAAATAATGAATTGAATATAAAACTGCATCAAATCTCATTCCATTTAAATTGCAAATTTGAAATTTGCCGATGAATTTTCATAATTTTGATAATTTATCCATTACAACAATAGGGATATACAATGCATTTCATGCCTCATGGATTCATGGGGAATAAATTCATTTTTTGTAGAAAAAAAAACTATAAGGCCAATGGGTACATTTACAGCGCGCGGAGCGCTGATACTAATGAAAACATTGAAAATTTAAATATTCTATAGAAAAAAATGTAGTTTTCTCTTTCAGGTATAATTCCTTTAACTGTTTTTTTAACGGATATAATAATAATTGTAAGGGAACCGCAAGTAATGTTGGTTGATGAAATCAGTTAATCGCGGAAATGATTAGAATAGAATACACGGAGAGAAATATTCAATAAATATGACATATCTATTCCGTAATTCCGGAGCGAAATGTGGTTGTAGGAAATTTTACGGAACCGTCACGCAATTTTTATCTAAAATCACGGAATTTTATCTAAATCTATCGACAAATCTAAAGTCACTTAAATTTTCTGAGTCGATTCCGTAATCGGTGAGCGAACTGTGAGTTCCGTAATTTGTACTGAACATTTCTCTTCGTGTAGAATTTATTTTCGTTGGTGTTACAATTACTGTTTTACACCTACACAAGCCTCTTCTTCTCAACGCGTAACAATAACAATAAATGAATAGAAAAAAGTTTTGCTTCAGGGATTAGCCTACATGCAGCCGTAGAAGTAATGCTTTTTATTTATTTCCATCATTTTTTGTGGGATTTTCATTACATGAAGAAATTCTTGAAAAATTAGAAATTTTGATGGATTAAATTAAATATTCATGTACCTTTGTTTTTTTTATTGAAGCTGTAAAAAACGTAATGCTATATGCAGTAAAAGTCATTGACTTATCAGTTTATTGACAATAAACAGAGTTGAAAAGTGATGGAAAATATAATAGAGACATTTCTGTTATCAAATGATAATTGTAAAATCAATATGAAGCCCCGTCAACACGAAACCCCATCGAAACTATGGAACACTGGAACAGAATCCTATAGAATGCACATTGTAATTGCTTCAATGGCCCGAAAAAATTGTAAATAACAAACATGACAGAAAGCACAATTCAAACATGAAAATTTGAAAATTAACGTAATTATGTGGATAAACTCCCACTTCCCCTATTAACCTTTTTCCCCGGGAATTTTTCTTGGAAAAATTCCTTCTGGTCACTGATAATTCAAAATTCAAGTTGTTTATACAACTTTAAAGTAGCATATCCAGACTCCACATAAGTCGTTGAGTGTAGCAAGGAAAAATAAGTTTAAAATGCCCGAAAAATAAATTCTTCATCATTTTTTACATGAATTCTAACATTGACGAGAGTAAAAAATTAATCCATCCAATTCTCTCTACATTGGTTCTCTTAAACAATAATTGCTCGTTGGACTAGGGCATCCTGTACATTCGGGATACCTAGAAATATAAATTTATCATAAAAGTTTGACACTAACGAGCATTTTCGCATAAAATTTGTGTTCATTTTTTTCTAATTTTCTAATTTTTTTTCTGCATTTCAATCTTTTTTTCAATCTCGAAAAATTAATTTTTTCACAACACCCTGCGTTATTTTGCCACTTCTAAATTAATTATTATCACTAATCCTAGACATTAATTGAACACGATCTCAAAATTAATGTTTTTATTAATATCAACTTCCGTTTACAATGAATTTCAGATTTTAATTATGAAAATTCAAGTCATCTTTTATACTAAAAGTATTATATCCAAATTCCACATAAGTCGTTGAGTGTAGCGAGAAGAATCATTGAGAATTTCTTAAATGAATTCTAACTTTGCCGAGAGCAAAAAATAATCCATAAAATTCTCTCTACAATTATTTTCGTACTAGCCATACAATTCTCATTAATTTTTTCTAATTGTTTCTACATTTCATTTCATTATAATAATTGTTTCTTCATTTCATTTTTTATAATTTTCTAAATTTTTTTCTGCATTTCCACCTTCTCTTCAATCTCGAAAAATGAATTTTCTCACAACACCCTGCGTTATTTTCCCACTTCTAAATTAATTATTATAAATAATCCTAGACATTAACTCATTACGATCTCAAAATCATGTTTTTATTCATATCAACTTCCGTTTACAATGTATTTCCCACTTTAATCACCAAAATTCAAGTGATGTTTATACAATTTTAAAGGACACCCGTTGTGTTATGTACACAGAGAGCAGTAACTGATCCAGGGACGTTGAAGAGTACCCGTGGGCCTGCGCGTGTCAGTTGCTCGCGCGCCAGTGCTCTATAGCCATTGGAATCATACGGTCGTGTCGCTCCGCTCCTCCACACAATTCGACATTTTCCCATTACATTGTCCATCCCCCTGTCCTCCAATTACCCGAAAAAAAAATCACCAATAACCAGTTAATTGTCGTTGTGATGAGTGAAACGCATCGTAATGTTCGTTGAACCTCGGAACGATTCAGTTGGACCACCAGGCAGGTGAGAAGCCGTACATTTTCACGCATTTTGTCGAGGTTTTACATGATCCGGGACAGTGCAGCCTCACTTCTCACCATTCTTCTGGTGGGAAGGGGGTAACTAGTGTCACGTGACCCCTATGTTTACCAAAATGGTGACCCACGGAGTTGTGCGAATGATAGAGGATTTATTTTTCCACCTGTCACACCGCGAAAATAGTCCCTGAATGCTTGTCAATTATTCCGGATTTGTTTTTGCTCTTTAAAGGTGAAAGAGTATCTTTTTTATTTTCGCGTCGGGTCGCATCTGACGTCACTCGCGGTGCACCTGAAATACTGGGCAAATGAATTTCACTCATGCCGATTGTTCCTTTTATCGTTTCTGTGCGCGTCACGCACCGTTGATCCGAGAATTTCACCGCGATGTTATGTGAAAAGAGTTCGGAATGAAAGATATCTGGAGGTTTTTGAGCTGTTGGTGAGTTTTCATGGCCGGCATTTGTTCGGCGGGTTTTCTTGGGGGGTGCGGAGGGCTGGGAGGGGGATTTTTAGAGGGTTATCAGATTTTATTGCTCGGGTGGGTTATCTTGTTGAGAATTAATACTTTAGGGATTGTTTGGACAGGTAATTTGTTCTGTTGATTGGTGATTGGCGTTGGGAAGCATTTTCATTGTCATTTCTCTCTGGGTTGTAAATCAATTTTTCTTTGCTTATTCCATGTTTTATTTACTTGTTAAATCCTTGTGAGACGTTTGCAATTTTGTAAGAATCCAATATTTTATTCAAAACTTTATCTTTGAATCATCAAGGGTTGTGGGTGACTATTTGACATTCTGATAGTAGGTTCTGAATTTTTTCATCTCTTCATGATCAATTTTGGAGGAATCCAATATTTTATTCAAAACAAAAATTGGTTCATGTCAGTTGACGATTATTTTTAGAGGATTATCAGTTTTTATTGCTCCGGTGGGTTATCTTGTTGGGAATTAATATTTTAGGGATTGTTTGGACAAGTAATTAGTTCTGTTAATTGGTGACTGGCGTTGTGAAGCATTTTCTCTCTGGGTTGTAAATCAATTTTTCTTTGCTTACTGTTTCATGGTTTATTTACTTGCGAATTCTTTGTGAGACGTTTGTGATTGTTTGAAGAGATTAATAAGAATTTTTTATCGTTTTTTCAGTGGTGTTCATTTGGGATCCGATTCATCTGTTCGAGTTATTGCTCCATTTTTGTAAAACGATTTCGCTATTTTTATTACTTTATCTTTGGATAATCAATGGTTGGGGGTGATTATTTGACATTCTGATAGTGGGTTCTGAATTTTTTTATCTCTTCATGATGAATTTTCTAGGAATCGAATATTTCATTGAAAATAAAAATTTAACCATGTTCCAAATTTTGGAGTGAAATCGTTTGGGAGAATCATTTTGGGCTTTGGAGGGGGATTTTTAGAGGGTTATCCGCTTTTATTGCTCCGGTGGGTAATCTTGTTGGGAATTAATATTTTAGGGATTGTTTGGACAGGTAATTAGTTCTGTTGATTGGTGATTGGCGTTGGGAAGCATTTTCATTGCATTTCCTCAGTGAGTTGTAAACCAATTTTTCTTTACTTACTGTTTCATGGTTTATTTACTTGCGAATTCTTTGTGAAACGTTTGTGATTGTTTGAAGAGATTAATGAGGATTTTTCACCCGTTTTTGTCTTTGGTTTTTGTTCATTTGGGATTCGATTCATTTTTGTAAACCAATTTTGCTATTTTTATCACTTTATCTTTGAATGATAAGGAATTGTGGGTGATTATTTGACATTCTGATAATAGGTTCTGAATTTTTTATCTCTTCATGATGAATTTTGTAGGAATCCAATATTTCATTCAAAACAAAAATTGGTTCATGTCAGTTATTGCTCCATTTTCGTAAATCGATTTTCCTATTTTTGTTACTTTATCTTCGAATAATCAATGGTTGTGGTGTACGACGTTTCAAATCCTGGCAGTAGGTTCTGAATGTCTTTATCTCTTCATAATGAATTTTGTATGAACCCAACATTTCATTTAGAACAAAAATTAGTTCATGTCCCGAAGGGAGGCTGGAGGGATCATTTTGGGCATTAGGCGAGGATTGTTTAGAGGGTTATCAACTTTTATTGCTCGGGTAATCTTGTTGTGAATTAATATTTTACGGGTTGCTGGGGCCCGTAATTAATTCGGTTGGTTAATGAGCGGAGTTCTGAGGTACTTTCATTCTTTTCTCTTTGGCTCCTTTGTTTATTTTTGCATTAGTGCTACACTGATAGAATAGGCGAAACGATTTAGTTGCTGTTAACGAGAATTCTTAACTATTAAGGCCGTTCGGTTGCTAGTAACGAGTGATCTTAATAGTTAAGAAGCCTCGTTAACTGCAACTGAATCCTTATATCAGTGTACATCGGTGTAAATCAATTCACATTTGTGTACTTCGTGTTTATTTTGGTTACAGAAACCTCACGAACTTGTGAAAATTTTTCCGGTTTTTATCTTTGGTCTTTTATTTGCTTCGTTGGGAATTCGATTCACCTGTTTCAATTATTGTTCCATTTTTGTGGTTATTCCACATTCCACATGCGGAATAACCACAAGTGGAAGTGGCTTTTTCATTTCTCTATCAATGTTTTCAGGTCAATTTTTGTACGTATCCAATATTTTATTCCACACAAAATCTTCTCATCTTTTTGGAGAATCTGGCGAATTCACTTTTCGCGTGCAAGAAGTGAAGCTTTACGAATTCCCGATTTTATTTCTTGCTCTAGTGATGAAGCTGAAACTAGCAGAATATTCGTTAGCGAAAAATTCAATTTAGGGAATATTCCCGTGTAGGAGAGTCAAATAATCACATGTACAAATTTTTTTAAGTGCAAAAGAGTTTGTACGTTACTTAAAAACATTTTTACATCCCTAGATTCGCCTAAGACAAATCTTCTGCTGTCGAATCTTTCGCTAGTTTCAACTTCATGCTGTACTATTCGGTGTTGATATTTCGAAGAAAAACTTCATCACATGATTACACATAAGTGTTATTATTGACAATGATGATAATCCGTTTTCATTCTATTATTTATAGAATATTCAATAAAAGGTGAAATCGTCCGGGTATTGGCCCGAGTCCAGCTATCAGCCTGTTCACCCTGTTATGGAGTATGAAGTTAGTTGACTAGCTCATATTAAATCAGTTAATCAATGATTGAGTTTGTCTTTAGATTATTGTTTTGTCTGCGTGCATCGATTTTCACCGAAATAATATAGGGGAGGGTGGGACAAAATGAAACTGTGGAAAAACGACTGTTTGACGCAATTCAACCAAAAAAAATTTTATCAACTATTTTTTTAAATTAATTTTAGTTTATTAACTTTTTTATTATTATTGGGAGTACTCATGAGAATAATAATTTTCCATTCAGTTGAAATGAACATGCAGTGCGAAAAAATCTCTGATATTCGAAACCCCTATATATGCTATCGACTCAGATGAATCCCATTCCCCCGTTAGAAATGAATAAAAAATTATTCAGTTAATCAACAAAAGTGAACAAAAAAAAAGTGGATAAAACAAATTTTTTTGCTTTAATTGCGTCAGGTAGTCGTTTTTCGGCTGTTTCGTTTTGCTGATTAGTCCCCAAATCAATTCATTCCCTCAATACCTCTTCGTAACTCTTGCAAACGAGTGATTATTCTGTCAGTTTTCCAATCATTGAAGGAAAAGCGGGGAAAGAGGCTTCGTAAGTACATATTGGGGACTATTCGAGGTTTTTTTTTGAATGAGGATTAACGGTTTCATCATTTTTTCTCATCCAATTGTGAAATTTTCTGGTCCAAAGATTTTATCTCTGTCTGTCGAGGTGTTAATTTCTTTGTTACAGAAGATTCTGAGGTTTTCCGATTCAGTTCGACTTTCATTCTGGATTTTTTGCTGCAGAATTCTGTCTGTCGTTTTACGCGGCATTCAATCTACCTGTTTCTGTTTATTTCCGCATTCATTCGAGATTTTTATCTTGTTATTTCACCTGGGAGGATAAATTTCTATTGATATTGACTTATTTATCGATACACTCTTTTTATTAAGGACATTTTGATTCTGTCGCATTTGGAACTCGTTAATTTTTTTATGGAACTGATGAGGGCTTCGAGGGCTGTGATGTATGCAAATGTTTACCATGACTCAAGTGTAATTCTTCAAGGATAAGACTGATAAGACTTTCTTTGTTCTTTTGCCGATGGATTATCTTACTGATGAGTAATTTTAGGGGGAAATTCCAAAGGCCATTTTTTATTGAAATTTTTGCTGCTACAAGGAAGTTCTATTGACATGTTTCCTCGTTTTTGAAATAATCACGTTATCAACTGCTGGGGCACAGTCTCCTTCATCAAAAATTTCGATTGCTTCCACGGTGATTCGTCTATTCATATTTTATTTGGGTTTCATTCAATGTTTATCTTCAGTTCATCGTTTATCTACCCTAATAATCACCCGAACCAGCTGATCATTTATCAATAGCCCTGGGAAAGTTCAATTTGCCTGTCTTTGATTTTTAATTTCTGATTTTGGAGTTCTTATGTTTATGCCACTCCATTTACAACTCATTCCCCCTTCTTTGATTTTATCGATATGCATTGGAACCTTTCGGTTCACTCTGCGATGTTACATGTGTGTAAGTGAAGATTACAAAAAAAGAAAATTAAAAAAAAAATACAGAAAATTCCCCCTTCTTTGTTCCTGTTTTTTATCCAGTCGTTTATATCAGGCTATCATATCTCTACCACGATGATGACTCACATAAGTCGATGGATGATCATAAACCGTGAGAACAGTTCATTTCGTTTTAGATCTTCAATTCCTCAGTGTTCTGTTCGTTTTATTTTGTTAAATGTTCAATTTTGTTTGTATCATCCAGTGTTTTATTCGAGTTTGTCGATTCTATACCTTAATAATCACTCAAATAAGTCGATTGATGATCAAACATCATGAGAACATTCCATTTACTCGTCTTGAATCCCTAATTTCTCATTTTTTGATTCTTCTTGTTCCATTTCGTTAAATATTCAGTTTATTTATTTATTCATTCACTTTCATTTTTGGATTTCACTGCGGACTTTATATCATTCTGTAAGTAACCTGTAGAAATAGATTATTAACTGACTAATTACATAATTAGTTCATAATTTTTAATATCGAAAACTTCAATTCTTTTCAACTGACATCAGAAATAATCAAAAAGTCATCTGTATTTATTTTTGGTTTCCATTCAGTGTTTTATGTCTTTTCATCATATTTCTCGTTGAATAATCATCCAAATCAGCCGGCCGATTAAAAATCATGAAAATATTCTTTTTGTCATTCCGGCCGTGAGGCAGCGCTTCACGGACGCTCCGCTCCGCTCCGCGTCCGTGAATCTCTGCCTACGGCCGTCATAACAAAAAATACTGTTCGTCATATGGCCAAAAAAAACTTTTCTAGCTCATATGATTGCAGCCCTCGCCTTCGGCTCGGGCTGCAAACTCATATTCGCCAGAAAAGTTTCTTTCGGCCTAGGTACGAAATATACTAATTTGCTCGTTTTAAGTCACTGATTTATCATTTTATAATTTTTCTTATTGTTACATTCCGTTAAATATTCACTTTATTTATTTATTTGCTCAGTGCTTTATCTCAGTTCATCATATTTCCCTCTGAATGATCACCCAAATTATCGAATTGATCATTAAAAACATTGAGCACATTTTTTTTACTCGTTTCCACTTTTTAATTTCTCATTTTCGAATTTTTTTATTCCTTTTATTCCATTCAATGCTTTTATTTTCCTGAGTATTTTGTGTCCTACCCTTACCTGTGGAAATTATTCATTAATTGATGTATTACATAATTAGAAATTAGTTTATAATCTTTCATATCAACTTGATTTGTCCTAACGGAAGTCAACAGTAAAAATTCATCTATTTGTATTCATTTTTGGATTCTATCCAGTGTTTGTTTGTTTTCTGGATTTTGTAAGTAAAAACTTACAAACCCAGAAAACAACGAATTTTTATTCTCTAATTTTGGAACTCTTCCTCTAACCCAATTACTTCCTTCTTTCGTTTATTTCTGCTTTTCACTGAATGTTTTATCCCATCACGTTACCAGTGGCGATTAATTATTAACTGACGAAACAATTCAATTTTTTGTTTTTTCAAAAATAAAGAGCAAAAGAACATATATGAATACTTTCAAACATCTGAATCAATAATTCAGCGGTGAAATGTTATTGATTCCAACGAGTTCCTTGAGTTGAAATTCTCGAATTGTCCACAGGAGATACATTTCATTTCAATCCGATACTCTAATCCCTCCTCATTCGTCTGTATTTTTAATTCTGTTTGGGCGTTGAACAAGTATGTTATTACCAACAAGTCGTTTCACGTCGCAGCTAGACCTTAATTCGTTACACATGGAATACTTCTTCTTGTTTATGTATTTTTCCATGCACTCCACATGACGTTCAGATGCTTAGAAACATATCAGAGAGTTAAAGTTGTATATCCAAACTCCACGTAAGTCGTTGAGTGCAACGAGAAAAAATACATTCAAGATGCATGAAAAAAAGATTATCCACCATTGATAGTTTCTCACATGAATTCGAACATTGACGAGAGTACAAAATTAATTCATGAAATTCTCTCTAGAATTATGTTTTGGAACGATAATTGCCAATCGTTGATGGTTTGACTAGGGCACCCTCGACATTCGGGGTACCCAGAAACGTGGATTATTCATCACAAAAGTTTGACACTGACGATAATTTATTTATTATAAATTATTAGGCACCACTGTTTGGTGAATGTCTAGGGTTAGCGTGGATGTGGGATGAAAATGTGGAGGGAGATGTTGGGAAAATTACTTTCAGCCGGATTTAAAAAATCACACTTTATTTATGTGGGATCGAACCACTTGTCATTTACATTTTTTTCTGATTTTTTTCTACATTTTGTCATTCATTTCCCCATAAGACTGTTATTTTGGGACTACTAAATTCATTGGTATCGACTAGGAGGCTTCGCTCCTTGCTCACTTCGCTCGCCAACCCGGGGGGGAGGTTCGTCACCGCTCGCTTCGCTCGCTCCCCCTCAATCTTCTTGGGTATGTTTAGGTGTTCATACCATATGTGGGCGTGGGGTCGAATCCCACTTCTGGCACCAATGTAAAGTTATAAGACCATTTATCAATGGAAAGAGTTTATTAAATAAATAGGGCGAAAGGAATGATTGAAAGATATAAAAAGAAGAAGAGACATGTCCGCGGACTAGAAAATGAGATAAAAGAATAACGAGTTAGAAAAAGACGATCGTACATGAAGGTGGTTGAGAGGGAGGAAAAGAACAAATACGCAACAACATAAAAAAAATTGATAGAATGATTTACCGCCTTTGAAAAATTACCATTTTTTTTATTTACAAATGGCTTCAACGAACACCTTTTGTCGTGAGACTCAAGCATTCATTTTTCGATTTATTTACATAGAATAGGATGAAGTATACTTTTATTATTATTTTGTAAGGATTTAACCCGCATTTGAACTTATAGAGATATGAACATAGTAGAGATAATTCATAGTGATGATAATTCATTCTCAATAGCATCATCAGGGTCACAGATAAGGGTCAGAATTGGGATCAGGGATAGTCGTATCCATAAATTATAATTACTGGTAAATTATTAAGTAGTCAATTCGTTAATATCACTCTGAAATTTTTATTATTGAAGTAATCATCATTTTAAATATTCAAATTCCAAATTATTTATTAATTAGCAATTGAGTTATTAAGATTGACGATTACTTGGATAATCGAAAATCCCTTATAAGAAATTTAGTATTATTTACTTGATAACAAAATTAACAGCTCCATATTATAATAGTATATTGTGCATCAAGGACGGAAAGTCATGTTTTCCCGCCCGAGGTGCACATGCTATTTTTTAACACGCCTGCAAAGGAAAGTTCGTATTTTGCTCTTTGATGAGCGGGAGGAAAGTACGAACTTTCCGTGCAGGGATGTGAAAAAATATTTTCCGTCCCGGCGGGCGCAAAGTTACATTTCCCTCCCGCGAAGCGGGAGGGAACTCTGACTTTGCGCCTACGCCGAGACGGACAATTGCGCCTCGCCTTCGGCTCGACTGGTAATTGCACTGGCGGCTGAGGATCCTTTATTTTCCCTCCCTAGGTTAGAAATATACTAATAATTCATCATCACTTGGAAATTTAGATTATCAATCGTTTCACTATTTTTTAATTTTGATTAATATATTGAAACCTTAATCTATGGAATTCTTTTGATATTGGAGAATCGGAAGATTGATGGCCATTCCTGATTAGGATCGCAGTAGGAGTCAGAATCAGGGGCGTCCCCTGAATTTTTAAACTTTCTCATTTTTTATTACACAGGGTGTCCCATTTGAAACAGGACAGTTGTATAGAGACAGATAATTCTAGGCTGTTTTTATTCATATCTTCCGTTTACAATTAATTTCAGATTTTCTTCAAAATTTAAAGTAGCTCTACCCTTCGGCCGGCCTACGCTGTACTTTTGGATATTTTCAGTTTTTAAATTTTTCAACTAAATTCCATGGAAAAAAATTGAAAAAATTCATAACCAGTCAGTATCTAAATTAAATTTCGCCAAATACTGAAAATTTTCAAACATTTCCCTCTTATAAATAAATAATAAAACTTGTTTGCAAAACGATGGATTATTTTTTATGAAGTGTCAAAAAAATTCTTGATTTTTTCACATCTAATGAAAAAAATTCAGATTTTAATCTTTGATTACAATGGAAATGTTGATTTCCACATAAGACACTGGGTTAAATCCTGATTTTTAAACATTTCTTCTTTGAAAAACCAAAACGATAATTAAATTGAGAAAAAAATTAGACTTTCGAATTTAACCGAATTTTCTGCAATTTTTTTGCAGTTTTCAATAATCTTTGAATTTACCGTAAGGGTAGAGCTACTTTAGGTTATGTTTATATTACTTCAAGAATACTTAGGAATGTGTAGGAGTCAACGAGGACTGTCCAGTAATTTCTTATGTAGGGCAGTGGGAATCATTTCGCCAGTCGGATTGCGACCGTGGAGACCGAATAAAATAATTATTAATGCGCTGAAATGGGTTGGAGACTCGTTGTGGGTTTATGATGCTTTAATATTTCATTGAAGGCAAAGGTCATGACTTTACGAGCCTCTGGGATTTGCAGGTGGTGACCGGACTGCTGGAGCATCGTCGGGGTTGACTCGATATGTTTCATGTTTTAGAATCCAGGTAAAGTAGTTAATTATTATCAGTACGAATTTTCTAGTCATTAAGGGTTCATTCATCTGGGGAATAAATCGTTCTTGGAAAAAATGTTAATAGTCACAGCGGAAGTCAATAACAATGGAGAAGACACCTGCGTGTACTCAGCTTGTGTTTCTTTCAGTGTATTATTTCCATCCTTTGATATTATACTTCAATAATCACATAAATCGATTATTAAAACCATAAAAAAATTCAATTCACTCGTTTTTAATCTTGAATCTCTAATTTTAAAATTCTTCTAATTCAGTTGTGTTCTTGTTCCGTTTATTTCGAATGCACGTTTTAAAATTCAGAGGAAATAATTAATACCAATCCAAAATTTCTAAACATTAACAGATTATTTGACGAACTAAAAAATGTAAAGAGATGTTTCTGCGGGAGATGTTATTATCAACGAAAAAGATATGATTTTCATGGAATTTCTCATTAACCAGATGATTAAACATGGATGACTGAATAAATGAGTTCAGTAGTGAAGCGATAAAACCATTGAACCATTGAAATCGAGTTAGCTCTCAGCCGAGTTTTCGAGGAGTATCTCCGGATCTAAAGGAGATACCAAAATTTTTCTAATAACCTTTGTTGTACCTCTCAATTCGTCCTACAAAAATGTCCTAACAAAAATTTTGAAATTGAAATGAAAAATGACCAATAGTCGAAATCGACTTGAACGTTTTACCGCTTCGCTACTGGGTTTAATGTGAAATTTTTGTTAAATTGACGAATTAGTTCGAGAGTCTGCTGTTCTAGGGGAGAGTTTTAAGAGACCTCCCCTATAAGAGAGGAATATAAGCTTCAACTTTTAAGAGACCTCCCCTATAACCTGCAAGTTTTAAGAGACCTCCCCTATAAGAGACGAATTCGTCCTACAAAAAAGGTCCTAACAAAAATTTTGCCTTAGATTTCAAGATATTCATTGAAAACTGACCAATAGTTGTAATCGACTTGACCATTTTGCCGCTTCGCTACTGGGTTTAATGAGAAATTTTTGTTAAATTGACGAATTAGTTCGAGAGTCTGCTGTTCTAGGGGAAAGTTTTAAGAAAACTCCCCTATAAGAGAGGAATATAAGCTTCAACTTTTAAGAGACCTTCCCTATAAGAGACGAATTCGTCCTACAAAAAAGGTCCTAACAAAAATTTTGCCTTAGATTTCAAGATATTCATTGAAAACTGACCAATAGTCGAAATCGACTTAATCGTTTTACCGCTGCGCTACTGGGTTTAATGAAATGCAATGTGAAATTTTTGTTAAATTGACGAATTAGTTCGAGAGTCTGCTGTTCTAGGAGAAATTTTTAAGAGACCTCCCCTATAAGAGGGGAATAGACTTTTGACAAGGGCTGATTGCAGGGAATTTCATGATGCAATCTAATTTTGGTCTCTCGATATTCTTCTGTGGTGAACGAGTGGCTGTAGAAAAAAAGGTCAAGAGGTTTTTTTCTGAAGTGAAATTCATTATCTCCAAAAAATTGCTTATTAATGGGGTAATTTAATATGAAGATAAGGGGGAATTTAATATGAATATAAGTTGAATGTGAAGTTTCTTTTCTTTAAAAATGTATCTTTATATTCTGACTTAACATCGCCCATTGATGAAATGAGTGATTAATCTAGATGAATTAAATGGAAAATTTGTGGTGATCCGGGGATTATTTAGCGAATGAGTCATTTTTGTGAATTCGCAGTCATTAATTCACGAGATATTTCAATTGTTGACACTTGGGATTAATTATGGCACGAATTATTACTCTACTCCGTTCAATCAATTGAAATATATCAATTTTTCGAGAATCTATTGATTTAACTTGCACATTCGAACGGATTTATTGCCATTAAGTTGATTATTCAATTTGTTCTACTTTTTGATGCAACCAAAGTGATGAAACCATTGAAATTAAATTGAACATCGAACCTCGGTTAATTAAGAGTGAAAATCGGATATAGGGCGAAATGTCAGGGGATCTTTTTACAGCAAAAAATTCTCCCCGAAAAAGTCTCCGAACATTTTCTTCTGGCACCACTCTCCACCGAGATGATTCTATAATTAATGCGATGACACAGCATTACAGCAGACGATTCATTGATTTTCGTCAATTTACCATCTTTCTTTCACGAAATAGTTCAATAATTTATTTTTACAATTAATTGAATGTGGAATCTTCGTCAATTAGGTCAATTAGGTGACTCCTACTTCGTCTCAGGACGAGTGGTTTCAGGAGAAAATGTCAAATGACCTGTTTTATGGCTAAAGAAATTCCCCGTAAAAAATATCTGCTGATATTTTTCTCCTATCCTCACTCATTACGGAGATAATTCAACAATTGACAATTAGGATTAATTATGGCCCGAATTACTACTCCATTATATTTCAATTAATTACTACTCCGAGTTCAATTAATTGAAATATATCAATTTTTAGAGAATTTATTGAATTATCTTGCACATCCGAACGGATTGATTCATAGTAGTTGATTATTCAATTTATTTTGTGTTTTTATGAAACGAAATTTATTAATTTGTCAACTCATTGATTGACAATAGTTGATTATTCAATTTGTTTAGTTTTTTCTTGAAAAGCGCAAGTTGTGAAACGATTAAACTGGAATTGAATATCGAACCTTGATTAATTCAGTGACGAAATGGAGTGGATATAGGGCGAAATGTCAGATCCTTTTACAGCGAGAAATCCTCCCGAAAAAAGTCTCCGAAAATTTTCTTCCGACACCACTCACCAACGAGATGATTCAATAATTAATGAGATGACACGTCATCACAGCAGATAATTCATTAATTTTCGTTAATTTACCGTCTTTCTTTCACGAAATAATTCAATAATTCATTTTTACAATTAATGGAATATGGAATCTTCGTCAATTAGGCCGTCTGAGGACGAGGGGTTTCAGGAGAAAATGTCAAATGACCTGTTTTATGACTGAAGAAATTCCCCGTAAAAAATATCTGATATTTTTCTCTTATCGTTACACGTTCCGGAGATCAACAATTGACATTTGACATTACTTATGGCGCGAATTATTACTCTACTGGGTTCAATTAATTGAAATATATCAATTTTTAGAGAATTTATTGATTTATCTTGCACATTCGAACAGATTGATTCATAGTAGTTGATTATTCAATTTATTTTGTGTTTTTATGAAACGTAATCTATTAATTTGTCAACTCATTGATTGACAATAGTTGATTATTCAATTTGTTTAGTTTTTTCTCAGAAAGCGCAAGTTGTGAAACGATTAAACTGAAATTAAATACCGAACCTTGATTAATTCAGTGAGAAAATGGAGTGGATATAGAGTGAAATGTCAGGGGATATTTTTACAGCGAGAAATCTTCTCCAAAAAAGTCTCCGAAAATTTTCTTCTGTCACCACTCATCAACGAGATGATTCAATAATTAATGAGATGACACATCATCACAGCTGACAATTCATTAATTTTTGGTTAATTTATCATCGTTCATTTGTAAGATAACTCAATAATTGAATTTTACAATTAGTTGAAGATAGAATATTTCTTAATTAGTTCGTGGTTTCAGGAGAAAATCTCAAATCACCCATTTTATGGCTGAGAATTCTTCAGCACTTCAGGAATTCTTCTCCAATTCAACACTTAACAGTTAAAATTAATTATATTTAGAATTTTTGCTGCGATGGGTTCAATTAATTGAAGTAATAGCATTTATTCGGGAATCGATTAATTTATTTGCCAATGAAGCGAAAGTGATGAAAGCAGTAGAATCAAATTAATTGCACCTTCCGAACCTTCGTTAATTCAGTGAGGAAATGGAGTGGATGCAGAAATGTCAAGAGATCGTTCTAGAGCAGGAAATTCTCTCAAAAAAAAATTTCTGAACATTTTTTTTCTGAAACCACTCATCAACGACATGATTCAACAATTAATAAGGTGACGCGTCATCACAGTAGACAATTTATTGATTTTCCCAAGATATATATGAAGAAATGATGAGGAAAGGGGAGTTATTCTTATGTTCATCAGTTTATTTTTACTCCGTGACGGTCATGATTTATTAAAAACATGTGTGGGGAAGTGGTGAAAGGAGATGAATGCTAATATTTTCGGAATGAGGAGGTTTAGAGAAATCTGGAGGATCTTATCGGCAGGGACTTTTATTCTCTCCGGAAAGGTTTTCTGAAATTTTTCTCTGCAGCCACTGGGTCCGAACACATTTCCCAAATGAAGCATTTAACTTTTTGAGTCGTCCCTATTAATGTTTTACTAATTCACTAGCGAAGCGCAAAACGGTTTAACTCAATTTTGACTGTTGGTCACTTTTCAATGAATACCTCTAGATCTAAGGCAGCTAGCAAAATTTTTGTCACGACCTTTTTTGTAGAACGGATTGAGATCTACAAAAAAGGTTATCACACAAATTTCTCCATCTCCCTTAGATTCGGAGATATTCCTCGAAAACTCACCTAAGATGACTCGGATGTCGATTTAAATCGATAAAATCATTTTTATTTTTATTTTAGAGTAGTTTAGAGTAACTTTAGAGGCCTAATTAACTAATTACCTTTTTGTGGAGAATTCCCCTTATTACAAAAAAGCCCTTTTGCCATTTTCCTCCATCCAAAATTAATTTCTGTATTAATAAGAGAAAAAATGAAAGTTAAACGGTATAAATTTTTTAAAGGAATTCAATTAATTAATTAATTGCATTTTTTTAAATTAAACTAATTAAATTGGTATTAATTTATGAATTTTATTAATTTCTTCAATTTGAAATGAAAACATTTGCATTTATTTTTACTTAATGAAATGAAAATATTCCTAGAATTCAGAATTCCCTTGTGTTATCTCTCCATGTTCCAATCCATAAGAAACACCATTTATCAGAACTCTGTTTATCGAACGATCATCAGTGATAAAAATTTGCGAATGTAATCAATCAAATTATCAACAGATTGGATCACAGATGATCTTGGATGCGCCCTAGGCAAATGGGACTGATGACAGCACGGAGGATCATCTAAATGCGAGGCGATACAGTCGCATAGCAGAGTGGTGCCTCCCGGTGCCAATTTTTACCCTGAAAATGGCCACTAATCAAGTCGACTATCAGTGGTGAGACATTATTTCATCATAAATTAACATGAATACAATTTAGTTCTGTACTATTGCATATATTTCACTAGAGCTTTGTTTGTCTCTAAGTTACTGAACTTTTTGCTTAGATTTTTATTCATCAAACTTTGAAGGTTTAAATTTAATTGAAGTAATATAATAGAAGTTCAAACGGATTTCTTCATTTATTTATGAGAAGAGAATGTTAAAAATTCCAATTTTCCGCAAAACGTGTCTTTAATGAATTTTATTATCCGTGACTTGTTAATTTTTCTCACGTTATTTAATTGAAAAATTTGATGGCTGAAAATTTTAAAATCTATTGTGTCGTCAGTATAAAACACTTTTTCTTCCCGTTTCCCTACACGAATGTTTTTAATTGAATTCTCCATTTATAACGCATTCACTTGATAGAATGTAAAAATACCGTTTCATAGCTGAGACAATTTCCTGCAATAAAAGTCTCTTGTTTGACTACTTGCCGACATAATTAACTAATGAGGAGAGATGAAGCGCTTCAAGTTCTCATAATTCATTTCTTCAATCGTTTCAATATCTTCAAAATGGATGTCTTACGAGAAAATGTCATAAGCTATTTTTTTGAGTAAAGAAAAAGATTTTTCTGAGTTAAAAAAATTGTCCTTTATCATTTCCTCGAAGCACCCATTAAGGAGATAATTAACACAGGTGTCATGATCGACTCATTAAGGTTTATCCCTTCAACTCAGAATTGCAGATATCGTTCTACTTCCATTTTCCCAATTACTCAGGCATTAATGAGCTTCAACCAATGATTTTATCGATTTTCACAGGGCTTACTCCATTATGGATTCGTCCAGGGTCTCCACATTTCTCATCTCGATTCTGCTGATCGTTTATGGAAGCTTCAGATCATTGAATATGGAGCAGGAGGCCAGGGAGAGGGAGAAGGAGAAGGAGAGAGTGAATTTATTGAGTGGTATTGTCAGTGGTACTAACTCGGATAGTTCCAATGGTGGTGTACAAACTCTGGACACAATGCATGCACTCTGCTTACCTCTTGGAGCTTCCATATCTCTTCTCATCATGTTTTTCTTCTTCGATAGTATGCAGATGTTGTTTGCAATATGTACTGCGAGTAAGTGAACAATTTCACAGGAAAATATCAATTTGTGGAAGTCAAACAGAACAAATTTTTCAATCACTCATTATCTTTACCTTTAATTTCAATGGTTTTAGGGTAATTTTTTGAGATGTTTACACATACAAATAATTTTTTCAAGACAATTTAATTCTAAACGTGAGAGATAATTATTCCCATGACCTGATGAGTCTTTAAGGATATGAAAGTACTTCGGCATTTTCTTCTCTTTGCTTCTAAATTTAAATCTTGATATTGAATCGTTAGAAAACATTTTAAAAATCAGAAAGAAAAATTAGAAAGTTTACTTTTGGAAGAAGATTGATGGAATAATCTAAAAATTTCAATTTTTGAAAATTACGAGCATTTTTTATGAATAATTGATAAACAATTTTCCACAATAAATCGTTACAAATTTATTTATATTCAGAATGTTACCTGAAATCGATCTCGTGCCTAAAAAATAAGGTTTCCGAAAGTTTAAACGATTTCAATTATTTATTTATAAACAACGAATGTTTGAAAAAATAATAATTCTGTGCAAAATTTCATTTTTCTCATGCAATTGACAATTGACAAATTTGATGATTACAAATGGTTGAATGTATAGTGTGGTCTGTACCAACCTGCAAAAGATATTTGGATATTGTCAATAACTTTTTAGTAATTTTTTTCAATTGATTTGTAATTTTGAATTGATTTTGACGAGACGACATTTGCCAGTAAATGCTAAAAAAATTCTGTTCATTTTTCCCATAATAATTCATCTTTATGATGTTTAATTCTAAATTATCATTTTAAAAAATCAGGAAAACTTTATGAATGAGAAAAAATCAATCAGAATAATGAATTGCGTCTAAAATAAAACGAATAACAATTTATCTTTCACTTTTACAGTTATAGCAACAGTGGCTCTGGCATTTCTCCTGCTACCCATGTGCCAGTACATAATAAGACCGTGTTCAGACGGTAATAAAATATCGTTCGGTGTCTGTGGAAGATTCACAGGTGCTGAACTGCTGTCTTTCTCATTGAGTGTCAGTATAGTATGCATATGGGTACTCACTGGACACTGGTTACTCATGGACGCAATGGGCATGGGGCTGTGTGTTGCATTTATTGCATTTGTCAGATTACCAAGCCTCAAGGTGTCGACGTTATTGCTCACTGGACTACTTATTTATGACGTCTTTTGGGTATTCTTCTCCTCGTACATATTCAGCACAAATGTTATGGTTAAGGTAATTTATTCATATTTGCTTCTAAGAGGAATTGAATCGAATTTTCACATTAAATAACTCTTTATTGGATTCAATTTTTGTTTTGGGAGGATAATTCATGAATTTAATGATTGATAGGGTGTGAATAAACCTTAGACGTTTATCATGCCCCAGATTTAATAAATGCTTTCATTGTATGCAATCAGTTGATCCCTTAAATTCTTTAAAATTTATCTTTGGGTGTCAAATTATCTTGATAACGAGTGGATTTACAGTGAATGTCGAAGGATATTTTTGTGTGAAATTGTTTAGACTAGAATCTTTCAACATTTTCCCCTAAATCTCTCATTTTTCCCCTCACCGCCTATTATCACTCCTCTACAGAATTGATCCGTGCGTTAGTAAATTCTTTAAAATTTATCTTTAGGTGGCGACAAGACCAGCAGACAATCCAGTCGGTCTAGTAGCCCGTCGACTCCACCTGGGAGGTGTAGCACGTGAGGCCCCAAAGCTCTCACTACCTGGCAAACTCGTATTTCCCTCGATGCACCAAGCTGGCCATTTCTCCATGCTCGGTCTTGGCGACGTTGTGATGCCTGGGCTGCTCCTGTGCTTTGTCCTACGCTACGACGCCTACAAAAAAGCCCAGTTGATACCTGGTGGATGTGAGGCTGGTGTACCACCACCGAGACACCTCAGTCGCATTAGTTACTTCCATTGCTCACTCATCGGTTATTTTCTCGGTCTACTCACTGCCACTGTCAGCTCTGAGGTCTTTAAAGCAGCCCAGCCAGCCTTACTTTACCTCGTGCCGTTTACGCTTTTGCCGTTACTCACCATGGCGTATTTAAAGGTAATTTTATTGTTTATTTTTTACAGAGTCATCAAGAATTGTGAGTGAAGAGGCAGTGGACAATGTCATCTCTTGGAAACGTTTAAAACGTAACTGTAAATTCAATTCTTTTATGTTTTGCTTTTATTTTTCTTGGTGGGGGCATGGAAATTTGAAAAACGACGTACTTCAACATTTCCTCGACAGAATGATTTATAACACGTAATGCATAATGCAGTCCCTCGATTTTTTTGACACATTTTATGTTTTGCATTAGGACCTTGCCTACTAAAATTGTAATTCTCACATTCTAATTACTTCGTATGCATATTGAATTCTCGTAAATTCAAATGTACCAACCCTATTACACATTTTGCAGTCGGAATACTATATTGTATAAGTCAAACTTGTAAATGAGCATTTGAAATTCAAGAAATACAAAATTTACCAATCTGGGCTCGAGAATTAATTCTGAATTGTGTACAATAAATTGAACATTTACAAGTTTCGTAAATTACTAAATTTTGTTGATCTTAAGTGGAAATGGAAAAGTAATGAAGTAATCAATTATTTGACTTGTCAATTTGTTATTAACTAAATTCAAACTTTCTTATAATGATCTTTCATTACCAAAATAATCAACAATCTAACTACCTCGATTATTGATTCATGAATTATTTGCAAAATTTTAAAATAAAATTATTAATTCAATAATGGAAATTTATTTGATATTATTAATTAATATCATGAATTTATTAAGGTCTTAATGCTAAACATTACATGTGTCAAAAAAAATAATGCCATTGTCTGTAATGGGTAATTTTGCTGAGAAAATGCTGTGTCGGTACTAAATGATCTTATTTCAAGCCGTTCAGTTTATTATGGAAATTATTCTATAATTTAAAACGACAAAATAAAATAACAGTGAATAATACAATCCACATCGTGCATTTTCTTTTTGTTATACTAGATACGTGAATTGTGATTTTTTATTTGTACTAATTTAAATCACTTTGTTACAGGGAGATTTACGTAGAATGTGGAGTGAACCATTCATAACCCACGCACCCTCAAAACACATGGAGGTTTGACAGCTCCCGTGGAACACCCATTAACTGAACAAATGTTTGAAAATGAAAAAAAAAAGCGTGTATATCGTCGTATCGCAAATCCCGTGACCCCTTAATTTCCCATCGTTATCATTTCTACGTAAGTAATGCTTTTAACTCATTTATCAGTTCGAGAGGATACTTCAGTTTCTTCCCTGCAACGATATTTCATATTAAATCACACATTGAGTGTCTGCGTTATTACAATGGCATCCTTTTATAAAGGATATTAAGGATTTCGTGTTTGTCGTTTGTACACTGAAAACATATGAGCAAATTTATGAATATTTGAGAGATGATATTATGCACTGAATGAACAATCTAGAAAAAAATTCAGTGGGTTTGTGATAATTGGAGGTGAATGTTAAAATGAGATTTTATTTTACGAATATCTTTGGAATTAATGGTTTTTGAGGAAAATGCAGAGACATTTTTTGTGGAGAATTTCGAGAACTGAACAATTATCTCTTGACATTTTTAGTAAAACTATCCTGTTATTGCTAATAATTCTCAATTGTGGAATTATATTGTCAACAATTCTTGATTGATGAATTATCGCAGTAATAAGTGAGTTTGAAAAAAAAATTTAGGACTCTTTTTCCAGAGAATTTCAACAGCTCAACGTGTCTCCTGACATTTGTTCGTAGAACTGCTCATTGTAGAGAGAATTACATAATTAATCATCAATAAATGATTGAATGATTTCATATTGTATGTACATCCATAATTCGCAATTTTCGAATTATCTCAATACTGAATAACCTTTGAAAATGATGTAAAAAGATATTTTTTGTACAAAATTTCGAAGGCCAAAAAGTGTCTTTACAATTATTGCAAAACTTTTCATTTCGAGATAATGGCATGATTAATCATGATGAAATGATTTCATGTCCCATGGATTATTATCAATAATTCTTAATTGTTGAATTATTCCAGTAATTAATGGATTTAACGAAAAATGTAGAGCGATTTCTTATCGAGAATTTCAAGGGCCAAAAAAGTATCTTGACATTTATTTCCATTTCATTTTTCACATGATGGTATAATTAATTATAATGAAATAATTTCATATACCACACACTATTGTTAATTGTTAAATTATCTGGATAACGAGTGGATCTCTCAATAACGAGTAGAGATGAATGTCGAAGGGTATTTTTGTGTGAAATTCTCTAAACTAGAATCTTTCAACATATTCCCTTCCCCTAAATCCATTAGTCCTTAAGCTATTCGTAAAATAATTTCGCATTTTTCCTCTCACCACCTATTATCACTCCTCTACAGAATTAATCTGCGCGTTAGTGTTAGTGTTGATAAATCCAATTAATTTATAATTAAATAATTAACGCGTAGATAAGAAAGATGAGTTTAGCAATGGCCGTGACAAATAACTTCAGATGATTCAATTATCATTAATTGAAAACGAAACAATTCATGAATTTATTTAATGAGAAAGAATAAAAATGAATCGTTTTGAATTGTAAAGGAGAATAAATTATTTTTTATCGAGCATTATGATGCACAGATGCAAGGTCATCACCTGTAATCAGGATGTTTCACCAGGAAATTAGGAAATAACTCGTACTGAGAACCGGTAATCGATTGGATCGAGGAATGTTTAACGTTTCTCCAACAACAAAATGATGAATGAGAATTAAACAGTTACATTGTTGAAGCGATCGAGATTATATTGATGGAATAATCAGCGAGACATGCGTGCTGGTTGTGAATTTTTCAGTAATATTAATGAAATATTTAAGAGAGATCAGCGATCGCGATTATCAACCACAATTGTGTACATAAATATATAATAATTTTTTATAAGGGCAAAAGTGGCTCGAAGTTCATTCGAGTTGGGTTTAGTTCGAAGAGGGGATTATTTTTTTTAGACTCCGGGGAGACTCTGTACACTTGAACTATTCATTTAGGTGGGGCAAGACCGCTCAAGTCTATTGATCAATTTTGCAATTTTTTATTGGGTTAATGAACGATTTTTGGGGAAAGTTGAAAGGAATTTTTTGGGATATTGTGGGACTTCAAAATCTTCTTCATGACGTTTTTTCTTGAAGTCGTTCATTCATGAAATCATCAGATAATTAATAATAATACAATGCCCAGAAAATTTAAATTGTGGAATTCTATTGGTAATTAGTGATTTTAAAGGAAATGTTAGGAGACATTTTTCTAGAGAATTTTTGTAATCTCCAAAAAAAGTATTTTGACATTTTTCTTAAAAACACTAGTTAATGAACAATTACATAATTTTTAATTGTGGAAATATTTTGATAATGAGTGATTTTAGGGAAGATGTGTAGAATTTTTTTTGTGACAAATTTTGAAATCTGCAGAAAAAGTCTTGACGTTCCTTTTTGGAATAACTCATTAGCAAAATAATCACATGATTAATAATTATCGTGTTTCCAATGAATTGTGCTAATTTCATTATTTCTTTAATGAGTGATCCTAGGAGAAAATATCAGAATTCCTTCAGGATTTTTTTTTCTCCTGATACTTGTCTCTAGGCCAAATCAATGTACAATTATTGCAGTAATTGAAGTTGACTTGAACTGTTTTATCAACTCACTTCTGAAGTAATGAATAACTACGTTTGAAGATCATCAGTTCTGTAATTAAAAAAAATCAGAGAGAATAATCGCATTTATTCTACCGTTTTTCGAAGGATTTTTCCGTAGCTAATGATGAACATTGTTTCGTTTTATCTTACTCGATCACAGAACTGTTGGTCATTATTCATTTTTTTCAGAGAAAAAGGTAATTAATGGGTCCACATCACGAACGGGCGATCCTTCAAAGGATTTCTCATTTATGTTTCATTTTTTATTAAAAAAAATCTCTTTCAATTCCACCAAGACTGATATCCACGTAACAAGGAGGCCATCAATTAGTTTCTCCCCATTTTTTTCGTGGATAAAAATAATACATGGATGTCACAGTATCCGAGGGAATTAGTAATTTCGTTTTCATTCTTTTTTTCGTAGTTTTATGGGTAATCCCAACAAGACTGATAACCAGGATTGATGTTTTGCCGTGGCTTGCACCTGGCGTTTTCAAATTAATCAATGAACAACGCACATTGATACGATTGATACTCTTCCGAATGAAATTGCTACTGGGGGAATTTTGGAAAATACAATACGCTCAGAAATTTCTCACAGCTATACTTCGAATATCTTCGAAACTATTCGGTTTATCGAGAAGTATTATGAAATCATTTTTGTAGATTATTAAATTTACTACAAAAATGTATTGTAATATTTTTCTTTAGGGCCACTCATTACTGAGATAATTAATTAATCAGGACCCATTCTGGGTTAATGTGAAATCATTGTGGGAGAGGGTGAACTAAAATAGTCTGTCTTCATTTGTCAATACCTCCTGACCAGATGGTGCGATTTGGATAACTCAGGTCTCATTTTAAAGCTTAAACAAATGCCTTCAAAATGAAAAAAAAATCAGAAATTTCACTCTGGGGTTCTTGAGCTATCGACGATGGAAGGCGGTTCTATAATTATCTTGGCAATGAGTGGCTCTGAAGAAACTGTGAGAATACATTTTTTGTAGAGAATTTTGTGAACTGAAAAAAAGTTCTTCTGACATTTTTCGATAAACCGAATAATTCAGGAGATATTTGCAGACTAGTGAAATGAATTTAGAACAATTTACAATCTCACTCCTGAATTGCTCTGGTAATTATGCAAATCAAAGGTTTCGATGGAAAGACTAATTTAGGTACCTCATATAGTCGATGAATGCGATAATTAAGGGAGTATTCAATTGAATAATCAACTCCCCCTTACATCGTGACTGTCCGAGCCCGTTCGTGATGAATACTGGACCCAATTCATTATTCATTCGATTATTAAATTTTAGATTGAATACGTTCTATTGAATTCGGTGATCAGTGTCAAATATATCATTATTTATAGATATGAAATGCATTAGCTCTCTTATGAAATAATTATCGATCAAATTGACGATTAGATTTGGGGTGAAGTGATCAAAGTAGAGAGAGAAATGAGTAAAAATGACAGAAAAAATCCCCAATAATCAGTGAAAAACCTAGTACTCATGTCCCAGTTCATTTTCTTACGAAAAATCATTCATCTGATTTGTAAATATTGCCACGGGTTCTCGAGAATTCGAATGGAGGAAATTAAGAATGAAAAATTTGTGCAATAAGTTGTAATTTTTCATTCAATTATTTATTATAATTTTAGTAAAAAAACCAGAACCACAGGCATGAATGAAACCCCTCGCGATTCTCACTCCAGTTTTTTTTTCTATTACAATTCATTTTTTACAAGGAAAAAGAAAAACAAAGTTATAATACTGTATGCGTTATCTCTGATAAGACTAAAAAGAAAAACAAAAAGGAAATTATTCTCTCTTTGGGTTTGTCGTGAAATCGAGACGAGTGATAAAACTGGAAATCGTGATTTTTCGAGAGGTGTGAAATAATAAAAGAATTAATTAATTGTAGTTTAACTAGACGAGACTTGGATTTCCGCTGGAGTTGTTGACCCCAACAATTCTCGATATCATGAAAAACCCAGAAGAGAGATGACGTATAACTTAAAGAGTCTATACATTTAGAGAAAAACTTATAATAGAAAAAGTGAAGAAAATGAAATGAAAAAAAAATATTAAGGAAAAATACCATTGCAGAAGGTACATCTTAAATAGAATGTAATTATTGATTAAAACTAAATAACATAAATTGATAAATCTAAGAGCACTCGCTTGTACTGTTGCAACTTCTTGCATGTGTACAGCCATGTACATTTTTTTATATAAAAAAAATCGATAAAAATTGAAAATAAAACTGTTTCACGTAACAGCGTGATACGTGTTTAGTTGAGAATTGTGGTTTTTATTAATTGATTATCCTTTTTGGTTTGGTGAAACATGCCAAGCGACATTTTTATAGGAAATTTAATTCCAAGTAAAAAGGCTTCTGACATTTTTCGTTAAATCCATTACACACGTATTTACAAAATCATGTGAAATAGAAAATAATGGATTAGGAAGAAATGTCATACGAAATTTTTTATTGAGAATTTAATTTCTACTTTCAAACGGATTCGCAAAATAAATTATACAAATTGTTCATTTATTGTTGTCCTTTCACAAATCTACAGATTATTTTGGAAATTTCTTTACAGCTAATACGTTTTAGGGAAAAACTTCAAGAGAAACTTTTCGAAAAAAATTCAATTTCTCTGATATTTTCTCCGGACAATTTCCCTTGTAAAATATCAGAAAAAAAACACTTCACAAAAAATTAGACACTAGTCTGCCCCACCGTAGCTTTATCCAACTTCTTCTTAATCCTCTCCAACTCCTCCATGTCCTCTACCGAGGCCTCGCACTTGTACACAACGAGTGAATGGTAGAAGTGAACCGCAAATGCGACAAAAACAATTAGCACCGGAATGACGATGATTGTGCTGGTCATGGCAGCCATGAAGGAGTAGTCCCAGAATTTCACCCAGCAGAGGATGGCCACTTCGACGAGGAAGAGAAACAGTCCGAGGACCGTGGAGAAGGCCCAGGCGAGCTCGATGAAGCCCCGCATCCGCTCGTGGGGTGACTCTGTTATCAGTTTTGACACTTGAAGTTTACTAATTGCCTCGACATTTGGCAGTAAATATGTGCTTATCATTAGCGCGAATATGTGAACTGACACGAGCACTGTTGTGCACACTGCGAACATCACGAAGAGCCACTCGGGAACTGCTGTCCCTTCGTTTATCTGGAGCTCGACCATCGCGACCTGAAAATTTAAGAGAAAATCGGTTATCAGGAAAATCATGATGTAGAAATTCTGTTACTCTTTCACATCATAAACCAATCAATCATTATTAAAGTAGAATAGTTAAACTCCACGTGAATCATTGAGTAGCGAGGAAAGATAAATTTAAAGTGCCCGAAAAAAAATATTCATTATTGATAATTTCTTACGTGAATTCCAACGTTGACGAGAGTAAAAAAATAATTCATCAGAAACATAAATTATTTATCACAAAAGTTTGACACTGACGGAAATTTTTGATATTAGGCATAAAATTGGCATTGATTTCTGATTTTTTAAGATTTTTTTTACATTTTAATTTTCTCTTGAATCGTGAAATTTTTATTTTCTCTGAATACTCTGTGTTATTCCGCCACTTCTGATTTAATTATCAATAATGATACTAGATTGCAACTTGTGCACGAACACAACCAGAATGTTTTTATTCATATCAAATTCCGTTTAGAATTTATTTGAGACTGTCATCTTCAAAATTTAAGTCATGTTGATACTACTTTAAATGCATTTACATTATTATCAATCGGCAATCCCCATTAAAGACTGACGATTATTCCGATAATATTGAAATGATTTTAGAAATTCATAATTATTCAATTAATGATCAATACACAATGTCGAATTTCCATTATATTGTTAATTTTCGTGTCTCAATGAAGAAGAAACTATTGGCATGACTATTTACTGATTGCAGTTATTCTTTCAAATAATTGATTTTGCAGGATTTAGCAACTTTTACATATTAATTATCAGGGATTATCAAGTGGGTGGTCATTATAATAACATTTCCCCGAAATTAAATTTCTTCACCTCAATTTATGAATACGGAGATGATTGAAAACATCAGTTGATTTTTTTTGCGCATAACATTTCATTTTTTAAATGAATAAATAATGGAAATTGTTTAAACTCCTAAAAACTATTAATTTTTAAAGAGTGATTTTTAGGGTGAAAATCTATTTTTTCATCAATTATTGACGGGTCGAGATCATTTTAAAAAGATTTACAAATAGTTGAAAATTAAATGCGTTGCAAAATATTTGGTCACCCAGGGTCAAGTGGGACTTGAAAGAAATCTCTGAAATCTCTGAAAACGAATAAATTCATCCCTCATAACTTTGTCCCCCGAAATTATCATTTTTCCTCAATGAAAAAAATAATAATTTCTGGGGCTTATCATTACTATTTTACCCCAATGAAAAATTAACAATAATAAATACCAAGTCATTTAAAAATTGAAGACCTAAAATATTCTATTCCCAACAGACCTCCAAAACAAGAAATAAAAAATCACCGTTATATAAATCCCCTTCAATCTGAAAATTTACAATCAAAACTAAAAGCAATTCATTTACCGCCATTGCACGCCTCATAGCTTCATAATTCGATACAAATCATTATCCAAACAACTCACCACCTCCATTTCTCTCACGTCATTAATATTTCCATCGCCTACGATAAAAAGTTCCGCTCATCACACTCGTGTGTCTAAATTATTTGTCCTTACATAATTGCTGATAGAGTCTGAGATTGACAAAGATTGTCCCCGACTTTGATATAATTGTATTTGTCTCATATTTCTCCAGAAGGAAAACACTCGCGACTATTCACACAATTGAAAATCCCTCGAATTCCTTTTCCGCGATAAATTACGACTGATTGTAATCAAAACTTATAGCTTCGTAATAATATCACCTCAATATTTCCATAGCAATAATTCCGTAATAGTGCAGTGATTACACAAATGACATAAATTGTGGAATTCATGCGCAAATATGTGGTCATTTGTGCACTTCAAGGCGGTATAATTGACAATTTCAATTATTTTCACTGTCTCTTTTTTTACTGTAGCGCGGAAGAGGTGTTCTGTGATTCTTATTTGTTGAGTCTTACGATTTAATTGGGGAAAAAATTGTGTCACGAAGGACCGGTTTGTGATAAACCTGAGGGATTACATAGGTTTTTATGGAGTCGAGTGTTATTTACATTTCTCGTTTTTTTCTGAATGGTTCGGAGACAAAAAATTTGGGATAGGTGGGGGGGAATTTCATGACATATTATTTGTAATAGATTTTTTGATTGATTCACTAGTTCCAGAGATTGTTATACATGTTTTTTTGTCAATTCTATCAAAATAGCTCATAACTTTGAAGAATTTGATAATTTGTCCACAAATTTACAGAATTTTTTAATGAAAAATATGTTCTAGAAAAGATTAATGGATTTATGGTATAATTACGTGAATAATACATCATAAGTCTGAGAGATTACATACGTTTTTGTTGACTCAAGTTTTATGAACATTTTTCTTTTTTTGTCTGAATAGTTCTGCGAAAAAATCAGGACAGGTAGAGGTATTGTAATGGTCGAGTAAGAATATGTGAAAGGGAAGGGATTTATTTGTAGAAGATTTTATGGATTGGGAGACGGTTCCTTGACATCTTTTGATAAGGCTCCTAGTTCCAGAGATATTTGAGATGTTATTTTACTCCAATTTTCGTTTGTAAATTAGGAATGGTAGAACAAATAATTCCTTTCTCACAGGAAATTTAATTGTCCGCAAAAAAGAAAAATAGCGGAAAAAAATCCGTAAATTTATGTCGAGGGATTCTGGCAAAAATCTGTCAATAGGAAAAGTTGTATTGGAAGATGGCATTAAACCAATTTTTTCTATAAAACTGTTTCTATTGAACATTCTCTATTAAAAAACGCGCAGTAAAGCTGCGGAATCATCGGGATTTAATGCAGCTTCTCACACACGAAATAATTTCATAACAAAACCCTAGTGAATTTGTTGGAAACTCTATTGAATTTCATTTGGTCTTTGTATGAGTTTCTAGCCGATTCTGTTGAAAACTCCATAGAAAAAAAATCAATCGAATTGGATTTTTCTATACTTCAGCTCAAATTTCTCAGTATTTTGCTCGATTTTTTTTAAATGAAATGAGAAGAAAAGCAGAGTACCAAAAACTTGATAAATTCATCAATTCGAGAAATTCCTATGGAAAATGTTTCAACAGAAAAATTTGTATTGAAGGATGAAATTTCCTATTATACATTTTCTATAAAAAAAACACACAGTGAAGCTGCGAAATTCTTCAATAACATCCAAAGACAGATATAATCTTCAATAAAAGATCAATGAAAATCCACAAAAAATTTTTTTGTTACACGGAGAGAAATATTCAATAAAAATTACGTATCTTTTCCGTAATTCCGGAGCGAAATGTGGTTGTAGGAAATTTTACGGAACTGTCACGGAATTTTTCCAGAGCCTTCCGTAATTTTTTTCTGAATCTCCTGTGAAAAATTACGATACCGTCACGTAAATTTTCTGAGTCGATTCCGTAATCGGTGAGCGAATTGTGAGTTCCGTAATTTTTACTGATTATTTTCCTCACTTGGATTTCAGCCAATCAGAGCGCAGTATTTGAGGCTATCTAACAGTTTTATTTCGGAAATTCCTAAAAAAATTTCCGACGGAAATTCACTAGTAGCTTTTCTCATCTTTCAACGCAGTTCACGTTTAATATTCTGTGTGACAGATGAACAAAAAAGTGGGTTGTAAACACTGAGAAAAAAAAATTCTAATATCTGAAACATATTTTCTTGAGACAAGTAAATTTTCTTCAATTGCTTAATTCCCTCAGGCATCTCAACTCACATGACCCGAGAAAGGTCTCATGCTTTAAAATATTCTTGTACTCAAGCATGATTTTGTCGCAAATGAATTTACTTAAATCGCGTAGAAGAATCGTCAATCTTCTAGTCTCTATTGTTTTCATGATTTTTTCGTTACGCACTTCCAATATTGCAATATGTAAAATACTCATGACGTAACTCGGAACGATAGTGATGAATGAAAATTTATTCGAGTTCCGTGAAGTGCACACATTCTGAAATTTAAGCCATTGAAAATAATTTACTTCTCTCAAGAAAATACGTTTCAGATATTAGAAATTTTGTTTCTCAGTGAACGTATGGCTGCGTAAATGTATCCGGATGCTGTTCACTGTACTCCGCTTGGCCGAAATCCGAGTGGAAAAATAATCTGTCAGATACCACTCGTGCTTCAAAATTAATCGGATATTCTCCTCAAGCTTCTCTGCCTAGGAACGAGTGTGTCAAATTTTGCAGGTTTAAAATCCCGAGTGCAAAGCACGAGGGATTTTTCTGCAAATTTTGACACAATCGTTCCTACGTAACGAAGCTATCGGAAAATATCTGGTAATTTTGAAGCACTAGTGGTATTACTACTGAATATTTCTCTCCGTGTATAAAAATTATTGTTTTTCCCCTATTGTTAGAACAGCCAAAATCCTCGAACCAAATAATTACCATAGCAAATCCACTGAGCAACTCTGAAGTGGTCGCTGTGGCCTTGAGTTTGGCCCTGCTCATGTGTAGTCTCCTCCAGCTGAGCCCCTGTGGTCCATCATGCTCACTCGCCGGCGGTCCCTCCCCCTTCGCCTTACCATTGCAATTGCAGCAACAATTGCACGGTGAATTGCCCACCGACAAATTGCTCCCCGCGTAAGGGCTGTAAGGAGGACTCGGTCCAGTCTTCACCTCGATAGCCACGAATTTGGCGGGTGGTCGCCTCTGCGACAGGGCAACTTCGCTCTGCGACGAGTGCAGCGGACTCCTGGTGGGACTGCTGATGGCGGGATTCGAGCTGAACACTTGATTGGATTTTGACGCAAATCCAGCACTCAGGGGTCGTGTTTTCGGGGCTCCACCGGGGCCATGTCTCCAGTTGTACTGAGAAAAGTCTATTTGCGTTGATTTATTCGATCTCGGTCCATTTATCTCGGATATATTGGTGACACTGTCGTGTCGCGGGTTAATGCCCTCTTCGGGAGAATTGCTTGGGGACATCAGGGAAGTGCTCAACGAGTACGTCTGCTCGTGGTTAATTAAATCGTTCGACATTTCACGAGTTTTATTCTTCTATTCGTATTAGTTTATCCGTTGAATTACTACGATTCTTGAAATTTATAATTAATTAATTAATTGATTAATTAATGATCATTTCATCGATTTATTTATAATTATTTATAGTTGATCCTTCGAGTGCTGTTTTCAAGTCCAGATTTTTTCGCTCAACGAGTGCGTCTGCTCGTGGTTAATTAAATCGTTCGACATTTCACGAGTTTTATTCTTCTGTTCGTATTAGTTTATTCGTTGAATTACTACGATTCTTGAAATTGATAATTAATTAATTAATTGATTAATTAATGATCATTTCATCGATTTATTTATAATTATTTATAGTTGATCCTTCGAGTTCTGCTTTCAAGTCTAGATTTTTTTGCTCAGCGAGGGCATTTGCTCGTGATTAATTAAATCGTTCGACATTTCAAGAGTTCTTTATTCCTCTATTCGTATTACTTTATTCGTTGGATTACTATGATTCTTGAAATTGATAATTAATTAATTAATTGATTGATTAATGATCATTTCATCGATTTATTTATAATTATTTATAGTTGCTCCTTCGAGTTCTCTTTTCAAGTCCAGATTTTTTTGCTCAGCGAGGGCATTTGCTCGTGATTAATTAACTCGTTCGACATCTCATGAGTTTGTTTTATACCTTTATTCTTATTAGTTAATTCGCTGATTAACTACGACTTTTGAAATTGGTAATTAATTAAGTAATTCCTTAATTATTAATTCATTAATTTATTTATAATTATTTATAGATGCTCCTTCGAGTTCTGTTTTCAAGTCTAGGTTTATTGTCTTCGATTAAATCTTTCGATATTCCTGGGGTTTTCTTATTTCTTTATTCTTGTGAGTCATCTCCTTGAATTGCTGATATTTTTTAAATAATGCATTCATTAATTATTCATTAATTAATTTATCATTTTTCCTTTGATCTTTATTTTCAAATCCAGTTTTGTTTTGTTTTCTTTTTAATGGGGTTATGCAGTTTTCGAGATTGACGAATAGAACTAGAGATATCGTTGCTATTGAAGAATTAAAATGCTCTTCACTGATAACGATTGACCATAATTCACTATTTCAGTCACGTTATCACATTTTTTCATTTGACTCTGAAGTTTTATAGTTTTACCTTAATTATTCTTTTTAACTCTTCACAAATAAATTAAACCGAAAAATTAGAAAACAATTAGATTTTTTAAAATCTGTCTTTTCTCCTTGAAAAAAAAAATCACTAGAGCTTTTTGCAGCAAAAAAATTCAGATGTTCAAAAATTGAACATAAACCATTTTAATTAAATAATTTAATAATTCATTAATAATTTAGTAGTTCTTTTAAAAAATTTCTATTTCTTCTCTATAATTTTATTTCACTCATTGTTTTTTCATTTAAATTTATTCGCATTGACTTCGCTAATTTCACTGTTTGAATTCAATTTTCCACAGTTCATCTGAGAACAAAAGCTTCACAATTTGGTTATAACGTCTCTCGCCGAATAAAACACGAAAACAATTCAAATAATTCAAAACAATAGAAAACTTGAATCTCCTCGAATGACGAAACTAAAACACAACAAACGTTTCCAAACACCACGTTATCACAGATATTTGCTCCTCCACTCTGAAAATCCCTATTAATTATCATTCCAAACTCAATCCCATATTTTTCCATCAATTTTCTGTCATATTTGGATCGTTCAAACGATGATAAATGGCTCACGGGCTGCGCAGCGCGATAAGACTCCTTCAGATACCGTCCAGACTCTCCATATCATCCCATCAAAACACCTTTTCACTCAGCATTGAAGTGGATCGAGGTCATCGATGATTGCCAGGTCCCAAAGAGTCTCCCCAATGATCTCTGATAATCGATTAAAGGGAAAATCAATCCACAAATATTTTCAGACGCAGGAAAATCACGGGTAAACACCGGGAAAGCCCCGGTACCTCAGCAATCCAGGAAAATCCACTTAACTCTCGACAACTCTCTCACGTTGATCATTCTGTCACTATTAGTGCATTATTCATTAATGATTCACTATTCCATTAATTCTCACTTCAATCCCTTCAGTTTATTTACGAGTAAATATTGAATATGTCCGTGATCTTGACATTTTCTTGAAAAATCCTTTGCAATTTACTGTTACATAAAATGTGGGTTATTCAATTGCTCATTTGAAAGTTTTGGCTTGCGGATTGACGTGTTTCACTGCGATTACGTGCACTCAACATGATTAAATGATTTTTTGAGTTTCAGCAGTATCACAACGACATTCACAATTTTATAAATTAAAAAGAGCGAAGAACTCAATCACTTTTTCATTTTTGTGTTTCACTGCGATTACGCGCACTCAACATGATTAAATGATTTTTTGAGTTTCAGCAGTATCACAACGACATTCACAATTTTATAAATTAAAAAGAGCGAAGAACTCAATCACTTTTTCATTTTTAAATTCAAAACTTTGAAATAGAAGATAATCAGAAGATAATTGCAAAGGATTGAAATGGTTCGAGCTGTATTGCTTCGCGTACTTTCAGGGCGTTGAGAAAGGGTTGGAGAATTATTTCGGGTAATTGTTGGTAATATTTATTGCTTATCGACGGTAAAATTATCGATGCACAGGAGTTTAGAGTTATCATGCAGCACTGAGAGGTGACTGCCGGCAACTAAGTGAATACGAAACATGCAATAGCGGTAGTGGGACGCGTGCTTGTAGCCCCTACCTTCAACCAGAAATAAGAAGAAATATCATAACAATAGTATTAATTGCCTTGTAGCCATATCGGCATAATAACTGGCTTTGGAGGTAGACGGTTGGCCTCTGAATGATGTTGGTGCGTGGAAATCATTCTGCCAACATCGATGACAATGGGATTGCGGGCGGAATTAAATGATAACTCAGTGGTTGGGGATTTTTTAGGTGGAATTGACTATTTTGTGAAATCGCCGAACTTGAGGATAACTCAGAAAATTTTTTTTCAGTTTGGTACAGACCGCACTGTAGACTCAGCCATTTTCAATCATCAAATTTGTCAATTAAATGGCGCGAGAGAATTTTGAGAAAAAATTGTGGAAATTCAGCGTCATTGAAATTAAATTTTGCACAGAATTATTATTTTTCTGAACATTCGGTGGTTATAAATCAGTAGCGAAGTGGTAAAACAGTTTAAGTCGACTTATCTTCCAGTTTGAGGAATATTTCTGAATCTAAGGGAGATAGCGAAATTTTCGTAATTACATTTGTTGTAGCACTTAATCGGCTCTACAAAAAAGGTTTTGACAAAAATTTTACTATTTCCCTTAGATTCCGAGATATTCATTGAAAACTGGCCAATATATAGTCAAAATTGACTTGTACTCTTTTACCACTTCGATCCAAATTTACTTTTTTCTTATCTGATGTTTTCGTTACCCGGAGCTGGTGCAACCGGGCCATGATCTACTAATCATCATTCTTGCGAAATTGATTTATAAAATGTTTGAAAAATCGAATAATTTGCTTAATGATTAATTTAGTCTTTGAAAAATTGGCAAAATTCAGCATTAAATAAATTCGCGTTGAGTTGACGCGTTTCCAGAGTTTATCCATTTAATTTTCAACTGCCAAAACTTTTTTCATCGCGTATGAAATCATCGGGAAATTAATGATGTCACGGATGGAGATGCGGGAGATTGCTGGGGAATCACAGGATATCAGGATATGTGATCCCCAATCGAGGGGATTTCTTCTGAAGAATGGGAAAATTATTCACAATTTGGAAACTGCAAGTAATGATAATTACATGAATTTGCATGGTGTGGAATTTCCTCAGGGAAGTTGCAAGAGACTCTCGCGAAGGAATTCAAAATGCAAGAATCTCGATTTTGTTTTTTCTTGACGAAGGAGGAAATATTGACAGAAACATTATCGTCTCGATCATGTCGATTCATTGATGTCCGCGGTTCTACCCATTTATTCTCCTCCATTGAAAATTCTTTAGGATGTTGAAGATACATTGAGTCCAACTTACTATTCCAATATCCGTAAATGCCGACAAAATTATGGAGAATTATGTAAATGTTTTTGTAACGAGGAAAAATTCTGTAATCGGCAAATTCTGTAATTGACTTCCGAACCGCCATTTATTATGTCTTGACATCGAAATCTCATGCGTTGATCATACGATGACTGAGGATTATCCTCAAGTAATTGGGAAAACTGATCAATTGTATGAGTGTTACTTTTAACTCAAGCGCATCAGCTTTATTGACCGTGCAAATCTATCATTAATGAATTAAAGGGAGACGAAAAGTGTTTTTTGTAGCTAACTAAATTATTTATAAGGATTTTAGGGATCTGTAGCCCGAAACAATTACTGATTCAACATTTATTTCACAAGTTTATGAAAATCCGGTAAGCAGAGATAGCCATATCCATGTATTATAATTACGGTTGAATTATTAAGTAGCCAATTAGTTGTTATCACTTTCAAATTTTAATTATTGAAGTGATCATCAATTTAAATAGTCAAATTTTGAATTATTCATTGATCAGTAATCGAGTTAGAAAGATTGACGATTATTTGGAAAATCGGAAATCTCTTATAAGAAAGTTAGTATTATCTACTTAATGGAATATCCGTAGTTCCATATTTTTAAATATTTAAAATTCTTCATCTCCTGTTCTGTTCTATTTTCTTTTCTTGCTGCACGGAGAGAAATATTCAATAAAAATTACATATCGTTTCCGTAATTCCAGAACGAAATGTGGTTGTAGGAAATTTAACGGAACTGTCACGGAATTTTTCCAGAGCGTTCGGTAATTTTTATCTGAATCTGCTGTGAAAAATTACCATACCGTCACTTAAATTTTCTGAGTCGATTCCATAATCGGTGAGCGAGTTGTGAGTTCCGTAATTTTTACTGAATACTTCTCTCCGTGTGGCCAAGAGGCCCATAAGTAGACTTACAATTTAGAATCGGTCTCGTTCGGTCTTTTTATTCAAGTCAAAGTTTTATTATAATTAATTATTAATTTTAAAAATGCGCGTGCACCTGTAAAATTCTGCTCCTCAAAGAGGTCTTATGTACAATCGTACTATGTGTATAAATATGGGGAAAGTGAGTCACTGGAAAAAGTGTAAAACTATACAGAGGGAAATAAATCATTATCTATCCATGTATCTTAATTCATCATCAATTGGAAATTTAAATTATCAATTATTTTACTATTTTTTAATTTCGATTAGTATATTTAAAGTGATAAGTGAACACTAAATACATGAATCGGAAATAATAAGTAAATAGGAGAGAGTGGGGTAAAATGCGCCTTTAAACCTCGATCTCTTGACGAAATAATACAATTTTGATGACTTATTATTAGCTTTCATTTTGAATCTTGAAAAATCCCCTCATGAAGAAAAAAAATGTTGGAAATTCCGGCGTTTGCTAAATAGATGAAAAAAAAGATGAATGAAACATAAAATCTGCGAATTCGGTGATTATCTTCGGAATTAATGATTCTTCACGAAAAAGTTTCGCTGACTTCTCCCTCTAAATTCGATAATTATGGAGATGGTCAATAATTAATAAACGAACGACATATCAACCTCAATTACTTGACAATGTCCGTTAAAAAATAATTGATTAACTCATTATTTTATTCTCAAATAAAATCATTATTTTATTCTCAAAAATAAATTAATAAAATTAAAGCTTGAAACATGGAAAGAATAATACTCTGAAGAGCGTCCAAACACGCTGAAATATGTAAAAACTTATGTATTCACGTCCAAATGAGGACAAACGTTCAATACCGTACTTGAATGCAATTGCACGATAGGGAAAATGAGAGATCGGGGAATTTCGCATTTGCGGGATAAACACGGTGTCATTGACGAGAATTATTAATGGTCGATGAGTCTTTCATGACGCTGTTAGAAACAATGTTGAGGATTCAAGCCCGGTATATAATTTTCAACAATCAGTTGTACTCTACGTGAAATATCGCTAGGCGAAAAAATGACCGATTCCCACACACAACGAATGTCACCCATCGGCTATTTTTTCCTTCGGTTATTTTTTCGCACATTCGTGAATATATTTTGCGACCGGACATCAGCATAATCGTAAATTTTATTGTAAAATTTATAAAAATTTAACTTTATAAAATTTATCTTATAATAAAATTTACATAATTTTTTTTTATTTCAATTTTACATAAATTTTATTATAAAAAATTCAACTTTATAAAGTTAAATTGTGAATTAGTCAATTCGGTCATATTACTCAATAATTTTTCAATTATTGAATCAATCACCAATTAAATATTCAAATTGCAAATTATTTTGGCTACTCGAAAAATCTTTTTATGAAATTTACAATTATTTGCTCAATAGTCAATTGACAATTCCATATTCCATATGAGTTATGTAATTCATACTCAATTGAAAATTTAGATTATCAAGTATTTTATTATTTTTCAAATCTCAATGAAGATAAGGAAACTTTAATTATGTTAAGGTGCAACTTCTCTTAATTTTCGCAATATAACGATTGCTGTCGATCTCCATTTACGAATGAACGTCTCTCGAAGAGTGATAATAGAACACAGTTGCCATCGCAATTACCTGGAAACTGATGAGAAAATAAAAATAGAAAAATTTTTATGCTTCCCTGATTTTTTATTCATTCATTCATGGAATTCAGTTACCTCTTTACTCACTCAATTAAAAATTTGCAAATCATTTGCAAATAAGATTTATGATAATATATTAATAATGTCAGAGAGGGTAAAACGACACTGACATGAAAAATTACTAATTTGTTTTTAATTTATGATTTTGCCCAAGTGATATTTATTTTTTTCATCACATCATTTTGAATTAGCTGTAATTGTTGGACGGGCTGCACTGTAGATTTGGACATTTTCAGTCTCTGAATACTTTTTTTTTATTTAGAGTCTCTGAATACTAAAGACATTTGAGAAAAATCGTACCTAATAATCGTCAAATATATAGATTTTGTAAATTTGATTATAGAAAAAAATCTGTAAAAGTTCCAGATTATTTACAAGAATTAACACGTGATTTTATGCAAAAAGTCCAAAAAACAATACGAATGAAAAAATTTAATAGAAAAACCTAGCGAATTCGATTTTTGTACATAACTTATTCTATTGAGATATTTTCTATAGAATTTTCTCGACTCAAAATTTCCAAATTTTTTTGTTTGATTTTCTTACTGAAAAGAAAAGAAAAATAGAATCAACAAAACTTGAAAAATTTGAGCCGAGGAAATTCCATAGAAAATAAAAATTCTATAGAAGAGAATAAGTTACATAGGAAAATCGAATTCTATTGACTTTATTGAATATTTTTTATTGGACATTTCAATAGAATCGGCCAAAAACTAATAGAAAGTTCAATATAAATCTAATAGAATTTTCTAACGAATTCGTTAGGTTTTTCTATTAAATTTTTTCGTGCGTGAAACTGCGATAAAATGAATCAAAAAATTCTGAAAAGTTGCTGGCACAAGGGGAAAAACAGCTTTAATTGATCCTGGGTGGGAAAATTATCGGGCGATAAGGTAGGAAATTGATGGTGTTGTTTTTTTCTCACTCTCTGTGTTTCGCTCCACCTCTACTAATGATACAGCTATCGACGACGGTTCCTTTTCGGCTGAACCAAGGCTGCGTTATTGTATCATTTTATTAACGTCTGTTAACCTTGCAGACGAGTGTGCGTGGAATTTCTTCACTCGACTGCGTATTTTTAATCTTTACGTTAATTCTCGAAATTTCAATGCATTTCTTCATTTTCCCCATTAATTCTGACCCATTACTCATAAAATATTGTATATTTTGCGATATAATCACACTCATTTCTGGGAAAGAAATGTTTTTTGAACTATCCGTCGTTACTTGTATTAAGAAACTCATTGCAAAATTAAATAATATCTCACACTGAGAGAAAAAAACTTTCGTCAAGAGATTTTGTACCTGTCGGTCAGATGGGGGGCAATTGATTCACAACAAGAAAGTGACTTTTTGGAACGCCAACAAATTTTTGCATAAAAATGTGCAAATCTTATGTAATCGTTAGCACGCAAGTTTCGCGACGGCGATTACAGGTGCAGGTAACATCCGGTCGGGAAGAAAGAATTTTCTTCATTGTAGTCGCGAATTTCCTTGGATTAATGGACTCTCACTTCAATTTTTAGAGAGTTTATTTATTTAATTCTGCATGAAGAACATGAAATGAGAAAAAAAATTTAGTCCAGAGAATTTTGTTATTTTTTAAATTTTTTGTTATCTTCGAAACTGGTAAATTCAGAGGAAAATGTACAAAAAAATACTAATACAAAAGGGATGAAATTTCGAAAAGGAAACCCAGAAAAATGCTTGCTTTTAATTAATTAATTAATTAACTTAAAATTGAATCAAATCAAGTTTATATAATTAAATTATTAAATTGTTTTCTGATTTGAAAGAATGAATGAGGTTATATATATTGTTAATGAATGAGTTTATTTATATATATTGTTAAAGCGAATGCAAAAAATTCAAATAAAGAGTTTTATTCGATTCAAATGCGTTTTTTATCAGAAGATCCGTGAATCACACAATTTTTTCAGGAAAAAAAGTGTAACGGAAGGACAGACCAAAATGGACACTGAACATTTTCGTATCTGTTCATAATAATTCAGAAACAAAATCATCAATTCCGTAGTGAAGTGGTCAAACGGTTCAAGTCAAGTCCATTTTAGCACCAGTTCTCGATGAATATTTCAAATTCTAAAGTAGTTAGCAAAATTTTTCTAAAAAAACCTTTTTTGAAGAAAAAAGTGAAGACTAACTAAACAGATCTTACAAAAATTTCGCTTTCTTAAATTCAAACAATAAAAGTTATTTAATAAATAGAGTTATTCAACAAAAACTCAACTGGGAGCTAAGTCGACTTAAACCGATTGACCACTTCACTACTGAATTGAGCTCAGTCTCAGTTTACCCCAAATGAAACGAACTTTCCTCTTCATGAAAAAAAAATACCCCATTTATTTAATAATTCCCCATGCGATCATCATCTCAAAAAAAATTCCAGTGTCCACTCCTCACTTGCCTCTTCCCGTCTCCCGAACCCGCAGCTCCCAAAATTCAAAAGAGCCCTAAAATGGGCGGCAACTCCGGACCAATCCTGTCCGCTCCGCATTCTACATTCCCAATCCCACGAACGTGTCTTTCAAAATGGCGGCATACAATGGGTTATGTGTACGTGTCTAGATCAGTCAGTTCTCCTGTGAAGTAAATAGTGTCTCGTATGCTCCCAACGGAGTGCTAACAGCCCCCGAAAAAAAACAGCCCCACACCCTCCTCGGTCGGCCGTGAAATCCCACCGTCGTTTTCCCCCGTGTGTTGAGTGTTGATCCTGAAAAAAAAATTGAAACGAAATGGGCGATCCAAAGCCCCAGCACGGCGCCCAGGAGATGAAGGGCTGGCTCTTCAAGTGGACTAATTACCTCAAAGGTTACCAGCGACGATGGTTCGTCCTATCAAATGGCCTCCTCTCATACTACAGGTACATAACTCCATTGTCAATGAATAATGTACACCCGGGGGTAATGCCTAGACTCTCTAGGTTTGTCGAATCACTCAGCGTCATTGAAAAATGTGAAAATAAATTACCACGAAAGACCTGTCCCTCCACATGTCCACCTGCAACTTCGTCATATGTTACACGACTCCAATTGCAACAGTGTGTCAAAACACAATCACCTTCGCGGCCCTTTTTCAGGGAAGATTGGGGTAAAACGGATCATCTGCAATCGTTAGTACCTCGAAAGTGACAGAGTGGGATTTTCCAATTTTTTTTTCGTCTTCACGATTTTTTTACGTGTTTTTTACTTTTGCTTCTGATTGGAAGCTTTGTATTCTATTTTTTATTAGATCCCATTTTTTTTCATCTTGAATATTTTTTTATCTTCTTTTTTTATGTGTATGTTTTTTTATTATGTCCCTCGAAAATGACAGAATGGAATTTTCCAATTTTTTTCATCTTCAAGATTTTTTATATCTGTTTTTTATTTTTACTTTCGGATGGAAGCTTTGTACTTTATTTTTTATGAGATCCCATTTTTCTTCATCTTCAAGATTTTTTTATGTATTTTTTCATTTTTGCTTCTGAATGGAAGCTTTGTAGTTTATCTTGAAGATTTTTTTTGTCTCAAAGTGAGACCTGATTCATGCAAATCAAATCATTTGGTCTGGAGATACGGGAGATGCTCCGTTTTACCGCGGTATCCCTTACGCATTTCTTGGGCATTTTTTATTTCGAAAGGATCAATCTATCTCGCTGTGTACATTAACATACACTCAGCTGCTTTGCGTGACTAAAACTCAATCACCGTGGTTAGATGGAGTGAAAAATGCTGACGAATGTCGGCGGTGACATTAGAGGAATAGAGAGAAGGGAATGGAACTAAAGAGATGTCTATTGTCTATTGTGCTCGAGTTTTCATGGTCGATTTTTTGTTAGGAGTAATGCAGTTGAAGCTTAGGGGTATTTTGCGAATATCTCGGGAGGTGATCAGGGGGAAATTTCAGGAGAGAGATCATTTTTGAGAGATGCTAATGAGGTTTTTGATTGAGTTATCGATTCGGAGATATTGATTAGTTTTATTATTAATCGCGACGTGGAATTAATGAGAGGTTTTAGGTGTGTGTGGGAGTATTTCTGGAGTGGGTTTAGGGAAGAATTTTGAGAGATCTTTTTGGGGAGAATAGAATTCTCTTCAAAAGTAGTTTTTTTATTCATTTATTTTGATACTGTTGAAAAAGTTTGGCTGAATTTTCCGGGAAAAGACCTGGAATTCGATGTAGGGGAAAAAAGTCAATGGAATTTCAAGTTTCTCTAAAAATTAAAAAAAAGTCCTAATTGTTTAGCGGCAGGAAGACGGAAATTCAACAATTTACATAAATTTTCAAGTGAAAATGAATACTCAATGCCAAATTCCCTTGAATTTTCAAAGAATTCCTTTAAAAGTTTTGGCATTCCCGGAATTTTGAAGAAATTCCCTGTGAATTCAGAGGAATCTAGAATTCAAGAAAAAAATTCTCTGATTGTTCATTAATTTTCCGAGAATATATAAACGAAAATTTGCAGTTCCCACACCTTGTTCCATGGAATTATGAATTTTCAATGATAATTCCTTGAAATTTCAGTGGAAATAGAAATTTCCGAGACTCTTTCCGGAAATTTCAGGGGAAAATTTTTAACAGTGTAATATCAGTGTGAAATTTGGTGATAGGTTCCTAAACATTAGAGATGAGTCCCGGAGAATTATTGATATTTTCCTGAAGATTAGTGACAATGTCACTGAAAATTTCTGATAAAATCCCCGAATTTCAGAATTTGACACGCGTTAAATCTCACAATTAGGATTTCCTAGTAATTGAGGATAGACTCCTCAGAATCAGTGACATGTCCCTAAAAATGAAAAAAATTTTTTCCCTGTATGCAATATTTCAGGACAATGCTGATAAATGATAGAGTCATATAATTATCTCCAGAATAACGGTTTAGAGGAGAATAGAGGATTTATTATCCCCGTCCAGCCAATTTTCATAGTTCTTTCAAATTTATGACAAACTTTTAATTAAATTGACGCGAAAAAAATCCAGTTTTTGCGGTTTATCATTGTCGAATGTTTCACGAAGTCTTCCAACATTATTCCTAAACTCTTACGAAATTCAGGAGACCTTAAAAAACGCATAAAATATGATTGCACGATAACGAAACTTGAACGAGCGTGAGTCATAAAATAATGATAAAACCCAAAGAGGGTATATTCTTCGGCATCATTCCAATCAATAGGTTGGCATAAATAAAAAAAGTGGATAATTGCATTTCCGTAAATGAGTCTAGTTATTGTTGCTAATAATTAGCAATTTGTATCCGAATGGTTTCTCTTTTTTGTAATTCTTATTTTACTATTTTACTATTCTCTTAGTCTCTTCTGTCATGTCACAGCACTATCCCAAATTGAAAAATCTGTTAAATCTGGAGATATTCGCAAAATAACATGAAGCATTTTGGACTCGTTTCACTTCACACTCAACTCCTGATTTTTTATCTCGTGTCGGGACATATCCAGGGACTCGAGTCAATTATTTATCGATGGATGAGGTTTTTTCCGTAATTTTAAGGCTACTGTTATATGGGCTGGACCTTGGGGTGGACGCAGCGTTTATTCCCCATTTCCAGCGCCACCATCTCCCAGTTACGGGGAAACGGAACCCCTTTGTCCATATGAACTTTTAGAAATGTGTTTTCTCCTGTAATTATTATTTATTATTTCTGAAACTACTTCATTGACTCAAAAATACAATGATCGAGTCGATAAAGTAGTTTCATAGATAAAAATTAATAATTGTAGGAGAAAACACAATTTTAAAAATTCATATACACACAAGGGTTCCGTTTCCCCTTAAACTAATAACATCATTTCCGGGGCTTGATAAAAATGTAAAAATCCTGCAATAAAGCTCCTGAAGAAATTCTCCGGTGAAAGAAAAAAAGTAGTGAAAATTTTTCAAAAATTGCTAAAAATTATGAATGAACGTTTTTCCCTCAATTTTAACATATTACCTCATCAATCCCAATTGTTATCGTATGAATAATATTCTCACTGTGCCTCACATAATAAACGTGACTCCAACAATAAAAATTCATGATGAACAATAACAAAAATTTAAAGTTATGAAAATCAGGGACAAGTGGAAAAAACTAGTGACAATTTTTCAAAAATTTCTAAAAATTACGAATGAACGTTTTTCCCTCAATTTTAACATATCTCATCAATCCCAATTGTTATCGTATGAATAATATTCTCACTGTGCCCCACATAATAAACGTGACTCCAACAATAAAAACTCATGATGAACAATAACAAAAATTTAAAGTTATGAAAATCAGGCATAAGTGGAAAATCGAAAAAAAAAACAAAAATTGTTATTGAAAAACCACCAAATGCACAATTGTTTTGTGGACTGTTTAGGGCTGAACCAACGGGGGGGCCAAAGATATCGACGCGACGCAAGCGGAGGGCTGGCAGAGCCTCCGAGTAAGTAAAAAAAAGAGAAAAAACGTTCGCAGCTGACCATTTAAGAACAAAACGTTACGAACTTGTCATTAAACTGTTTATTGCCCCATTGGACACATTTATTGACCAACATGGTAATGACAGATCTTTCCATGAATTTTATTTATCATCAGTTCATTTTTATCATTCAGAGAATTGTGCGATAGTTGTTTGGAGTCATTTTTGGATAGTTTTGTTTTTTCCTTCATTTTGTTGGGTCGAGGGAAGGAACTAGACTCAGAATAATTTATTTATATTGAATGAATTGATTCATTGATTTTTCATTATTCATTAATGGTCTGTTCATGAGGGAAAAATTGGTTTGTGGTATTTCGTGAGTGAGTGGAATTAAGAGAAAATGTCAAATTTATATCTTCTTATAATAATAATAATTTATTATTTCTAACATGAAATTTATTTAAATTTTAGGAAATGTCTTCACATTTTTTTGAAGCTTCTCTTCTCTTAGATATTTACTATTGCGAATCAGCGTGTGCCTATTGTAGTGGTAGAAGTCAAGTCGAGTCTGAAATTTTTAGTAATTAGCTAATTTGAAGGAAAAATGTTCAGGGATTTTCTTCTTTCGATGAGAAAATTTTCCAAAAAATTTTAATAACTGCGCTGAGATGATCAAACAAGCAATTGGGTTGTTGCATTAATTTTTCATTCAGTGAAACGATGAGATACAAAAATTGAATGAAAAATCTCAGATAGGTATTTTTAATTTTGAGAAGTCATGAAAAATGAAGGAGTTATCGAAATGAAAAAAAAATGGTTCAGTATTGTTGACTCAACTTTCATATCGAAGATGGAAAAATTTCATGCTTATAGGGATTTTTTATCGATGAGAAAATTTTCTGCAAAAATGTTAACAGCAATAAACAATTGGGTTAATGCATGAAATTTTTAATGAATTAAACAATGAAAATATGAATATTGGTTAAAAAAATCAGAGACGTATTTTTTATTATGAAAAATAAAGAAAAATGAAGAAGTCACTAAAATAAAAAATAAAATTATATTTTTCATTCAATTTTCACATCGAGCAATATAAAAATATCATGTAAAGAACCTTTGTTAGGTGAAATTCATCGATTAAAATTAATTCATCCTTTTTTGCGTGAAAAAATCACCAGGGGATGGTCGTTTCATTCAGTAAAAATCTGTTATTCTGAGTCCCCGGACCCATCAATTGAACAATTAAGCATCGCATCCGTACAAACTTCCTCAATTCCTGGCCAAAAAAAAATCCTGGCGAGCAATTTGGCACGTAGAATGTATTCCCACGTCAGAGTTGCATAAAGTTCATATCGATGCGTTGAATAGACGGAATGATTTGGGGCTCGAAGATATTTCCATCTGTCGGTTATGTTCAATCAGACGAGTCGAGATCAAATCAGAATTAATCGAGCATTTCCTATCATCACGATGATTAATCGGAGTAAACACGTGCAAAAGGTCTTTCTTATTATGGAAGAACTTCGTTGCAAACTAGAAATTGATGGACATTGTTTTGTTAATTCATCATCACGAGATGTATGCACCCAACTAATTATTGGGATGATTATCAGTTGTTTGGGGAAGTGATAAAACGTTTCGGATGAGTCAAGTTGACCTTTGGCGGGATTTGTTTGTGTTCATAGGTCATTTATCTGGACATTACTGACTTGAGAAGAAAATTCTGAATGTCTTTCGGCCTTTTTGTCTGAATTCTCGCATTCTTGAGATAGTTTCATAATTAGGTAATGGGAATGGTTGAATTTTGATTGTCCAGTTATCTCGATGAAGAGTGATGTTAAGAGAAAACTTCGTAAAACATTTTCTGAAAGGAATTCAATTTTTCGTAAAAAACTTCTATTGCCATTTTCCTGTAAAACTAGTGGTTTTCGTTAATTAGTGGATTAATTAATTGATGACCTTCATAATGATCTATCCTTCATAAAAATGTCAAAAGATTTTTTATCGCAGACTTGAATTAATGTTCTATTCATTTTTTTTCTAAAATTAGTGATTCCTGAGATATTTTCGAAATAATTTGCATAAAAATGTTCATATCAACTAATTTTATGGAAAGGCATAGAAATCATTCATTAATTATCAAATTATCTTGATAACTGTGATGTTAAAACTAAATCGGGAAAGTCCTTCTTATCGAGGATTAAATTCCCCGCAAAAATATTTCTCAACACTTCTCCAAAACTTTAAAATCAACTTGACTCGTTACGTTCAACCACTTCCCTATCGAATTAAAAGATAATTATTGATTTTTGCATGATAGAAGCACACTCATGTCATCACCGAGCACCCACTGCTGTTTTTATAACTGAACTGATCAATTCAATGAATTCATTTTGATTATAAAAAACGTCAAGTATTCTCATTCATTCAATTTCATTTCTGAAATTAAATTTTCCAACTCGACAAATTGGACTCTGGTGTCACGATGACAGTATATCGATATCACCTGTGTATCCAATATCAATTGATCAAGCATAATCGAGTAGCACCGAGAAACTCGTGTGTTTCTAATCATTTGTTCAGGAATCCAGCTGAAATGGCTCACACATGCAGAGGTGCTATTTCACTCCATGGTGCCTTAATTCACACCGTCGACGCATGCACCTTCGTCGTCAGCAATGGTGGTACACAGACATTTCACATCAAGGCTGCTACGGAGGTTGAACGTCAGCAGTGGGTCACTGCACTGGAGCTGGCCAAGGCTAAGGCGATACAGGCGATGGAGTCAGGTTTGCATGGAATTATTGATTTTTTTTTCTTTTACAGATGGATCAAGAAAGGATTCTTCATTCATTTTCTTCTTTTTCATTGACCTCCACTTCAATCGCCATTTTACCCTAGGCTGACAAACATTTGGCGATAATTTTATTATTCACACTCTGGAGGTCTGGCTTTGATTCTTCATTTTGAAGCATTAGAAATCATTTGATGTTCTGTGTAAAGGCTTTGCCTGCAGAAATCGTAATCGTAAAAAATGTGACACTCTAAAATTTAGAGTCTAAATCTCACAGTTTCATTGTCGAGCGGGAGTCTCGCAAGAGACGACTGTACCTGGGCAGGTTTTTCCCTCAAATGAGGTTTTCCTTTGTCCTTCGGCAAACGCGGTACAGGGGGTTGAAGGGTGGGAAGGGGACAAATCGTATAGACCCGAAAGGGTATACGGGAAGAAAAAAATATACCGTTTTTGCGTTTTATCGTTACTTAATGGCTCACGAAATTTCATGATCGTGCAATCATTTTACTGCGTTTCTTCGAAAACTTTTTTCGGAAATTCACAAAACTTTAGAAAAAATGCAGGAGAATGATTGCACTACCATAAAACTTTGTGATTCAGTCAATAATGATAAAACGAAAAAACTGGATATTATTTCGCGTCAATCCGATCAGTAATGAAGAATAAGAAATTCATTTTTATGAATTTCTTATTCTTTATTATAAATTCTTAATATTATTTCTTATTCTTTATTATTAATTCTTATTATTATTCTTTATTAGTAATAAAGAATAACAAATTCATATTTAGGAATTTCTTATTATTATTCTTTATTATTGATCGGATTGACGCGAAATAATATAGAATAAATAAATAAATATTACAGAATTCTGGCAAATCAATAATTTGCCAGAAAAATGAAAAAAAAGTGAAGTTTGGGCGAAAGGGTGTGGTACATCCTTAATCTACACCCAAGTTTTACGCATTTTGTGCGTTTTTGAATTGCAAATATTTGAATTATTCAGGTCGAATTGTGCACAATAAATTGAACATTCACGAGTTTGAATGTATGTTTATACCCTGTAATTATCATCTGGGGATTACAATTTCTGTGGACAAGATCTCAATGCAAAACATCAAATGTGTAAAAAATGAAGGAACTCTGTCATCTATAATATACCATTTCCCTCCCTTTGCTTCATTTCGTTCATTTTTTGCCACATTTGATAATTTGCATTAAGACTTTCTCCTAAATGAAAGAACTCCATTGTGTGTAATGGGTCAATTCACCAAACTATCTTTGGAATTGTAACGTTATAGTCCAATTTGTTGCTCCATTTGTTCCCTAAAATCGACCAAAAATTGTTAAAATATGATTTAACGAACGAGCACGCTTGAATCAGTAACGTCTGGTGAAGAACATGCCACACTTCATGAGAGCATCGCTTCGTTTCAGAAGAAGAGGAGGAGGAGTATCAAGACAACGACAATCAGAAGGGCGAGCATGCCTCAATAACTAAGGATCTCACCGAGAGACTCGAGGATTTGCAGACGTGTTACGACTTGATATCAAAGCGCGGCTCAATGCTAACACGTTCACTCATGGATCTGGAGTCTCTCGAGCCTAATAATTCAGAAACAATGGCGACTAAAATTAAAACTGTCAGCGAGAGAGCTACACTCTTTCGCATTGCGGCCAATGCTATGATTAATGTGAGTAATTAAATAATCCCTGAGTAGTCTAAACAACGAATTGCAGACTTCCAGAAAAATTGAACACTTTACTGAAGATATTTCATCAGAAAACCGAAACGGTAAAATCCATTTTTTAAGTGGAAAACTTTTTTTCTTTTTTTTTTTTCTCTAAATTTCGAGAGCTATTGGAGAAAAAAGTATTGGAAGTTATGAGATGTTTTAATAATTACACAGACCCAATTCAGTCTAGATAATTTTACGATATAAGAAGAGAAAATTGTTATCTAGAGATTAATTTTTGTAAATAATTATTTCTACGAAATCCAACAAAAAACTTATCAGTAGTGTTTTAGATCGGAAATTCCCCTGTTTTTTGTAGGAGATAATTTTCATTTGCCTTATTTTTCATTCACTGTGATAAAAGATAAAAGTAGTAAAATGAGGAAAGATAAAGAACTGAAAGGAAAAGGAAATAAAATAAATCAAAGTGGACGAATGGAAATTTTGAAAATCAAGGAAATTTTCGTTTCAAAACACTACTGATAAGCCCATTTTGCCCCATTAGTTCTACAAATATTGGCAAAAACCATTTTTTAAGTCAAAACGTTTTTTTTTTCTTCAAATGTCGAGAACTATCGGGGAAAAAGGGCTTATCAGTAGTGTTTTAGACCGGATATTCGTCTGGTTTTTAAAGTCGATAATTTTAATTCCCCTAGTTCTTCATTTACTGTGGCAAGAGATGAAATAATAATGAATGAATTGAATTCGATTGAACTACATGTGCGAGGAAGGAAATAAAACAAAAACAAATGACATCGTTCAATGATGATCAAGAATTAATATTGTATAATGATAATGTTAATTTTTTTTTACAGAGGAGCAACGATTTTCTCCAACTGGCCCAACAGCAAGAGCCCAAATGGGAGAAGCTGCTGCAGCACGAGAGAGACCAGAAAGTGAGGATAGAGAAAATGGTGGAGCAACTGGCTCGACAGCACTCACACCTGGAGCAGGCAGCCCAGCACGCCCTTCCAGCCGCCCTCCCATTGGGTGGTCATCGGTCCTCACGTAATTACTCGTCTTATCATAATACTTTGTCTAAAAAAAATCCATTTCGACGATTCGACTGATATCATAGAAACTAATGGGTTTAGAGAACAATGCCTTTTCATCCCGAAATTCTCTGGGACAAAGGGCCAGTAACGTTTCTCTCTTGCGTCACTTACTGTCAATATGGATCGATAATTAAAGAAAACTTGAGGCGTAACAGTGGACCAATTCACTTGTTCTCTTTCAATATGGAGGATAGGCTAGAGGGTACATGCTCCGGCCTATCCTAAATATTGAATGATATTTCTTGTAGCGAATTTCATTATCTCAAGGAAATGATTTTGATTCCTTTCATAAATCTAATTACCAATTTCAATGAAAAATGGTTAAAAATCATCTTCATCAGAAATTTTTTCCTCTGCAAAATATCTCTCAACATTTCCTACCAAAAATCTCTCCATAAATTATTCCCAAATCTGTCCAATATAAAAAAATTATCCACCTCATCAAGAAATTTATAAAGAATTACCCCAATCTCTCAAAAAACGTTCATTGACAATTAAAGTGGACCAATCCACTTTTTCTCTTTCAATATGGAGGATTTAATATCAGAAAGTATTTACCAAACTTTGTGAAAATTTCACACTTTTGACCATTTTTAATGGACAAAATTATCCTTCGGGATTTTTAGGTCCTTACAGTGTAGCATTGTTGGATAAGGATGTGAGATTTTATACTAGAGAGAGAGACTTCATGTTTTCTAAGTGAAAATTCTATATTATTGGTTAAGTCCAATTATTTTACTCTGAGGATTTTTTTATGTGACAATTGTCGAATGCAAGTCAACTATATGGAACACTGGGCGGTATTGCTTGCATTCAGGCGATATCACTCACTTGGCTTCCGTCTTGGTTTTCTGATAATTTTTGGGAATTCTAGGAGTAATCAAGCGTTTATAATTGGGGAAAATCTAAATGAATAGCAAAAGAAAAGTTGAGAATAGTCTGTTTTATTGGATGACTTTTCTTGTAGGGAATTTCATTATCTCAAGGAAATGATTTTGATTCCTTTCATAAACCCAATTACCAATTTCAATGAAAAATCACAAAAAATCATCTTTATCAGAAATTTATTCCTCTGCAAAATATCCCTCAACATTTCCTACCAAAAATCTCTCCATAAATTATTCCTAAATCTATCGAATATAAAAAAATTATCCATCTCATCAAGAAATTCATAAAGAATTTCCCCAATGTCTCAGAAATTTCAAGTTTAACTACTAATGTCAAAACACCTTCATTGAGAATGACAATAATTAAGAAATGATTTTGATACACAAAATTATAGATTTATCTATTCAAAAAATTTATACAGAATTTCCCCGATATCACGGGAACTATAACATTTGACGAAAAACATCGAAGGACTTTCATGTAGTAAATGTCATTCTCTTGAGGAAATGTCTTGACTTTTTTCATAAACCCACTCATTTATTCATGAACCCACTCTCTTCGTAATTGTCGACTTACCTCCTCAATTTTCACTTGAAAAAAATGTGAAAGTACTATTTTTATCATGAATTTTCTCCTCTACACACCATCCCTCACCATTTCCTCCGCCAACCCCTAACACGGGAGATAAAAATCGACTCCCAAAAATCTCTGTATAAATTGCTCACAAATCCCCTCCAACAAAAAAAATCACTCGAGATGGCGTTAACCGTCCCTTCCGGCTTATCGCCATGTTGATACCACCACTTGTGTTCTCTCATGCACAAATGCGCCACCACGATTCCAAGAAACCCGCCTTGTGATCTCAGTTTGGCACTCGTCCACTGACAAGGCCACTGACAGTCCTGTCACTCCATTTTTACGTTTCCCTCCGAATCGGTCAAATTCCCCGGTAAAATGCACCGTTAACATTTTGTGAATTTACATCGAGTGAATTAAATCATCGAGTTGTTTAAAAAAAAAAATCATGACTAGATTTAGAATTGTCGCGAGTGGATGCTGACAGTTGCGAGGGGAAACGGCACAAATAAGAATTCGGAGCGGTTGATTAATGAACAGCTCCCACAGGTTTTATCTATTTTTTTCTTCCACTTCTCATTAGATCATGCGGTGATTGCGACATTGACATGTCTCGGAGGTGATGGCAAAGGTGGATTTTAACGAGCCAATTATTGTCTATTGCAGACGTTCGGTTTAGTTGTTTTTAAGATGCTCCAATGTGTTGAAGACGTTTGCATTATTGTAAAAAAATTGTTCTGAGGAGTTGTGAGGGCTCAGTGCATTCGTGGAAGAGTGCTGGAGGGTTTAGGAACGTTGTAGCATTTTTTTAGATTTTTTTAAAGGGTTGGGGCTGCTTTCAGAACGGGAAAGATGTCCAGGTGGTGCGGTAATAGAGTGTGATTAGTTTGAAACGAGTTTGGGGATTGTGGGAGATGCATCTGGGTGGAAGGAGTTGAGGGGAAAATATTAGGACAGGGTTTTTGTGGAGCTGGGAAAATGTCTTTTGATATCTTCTGGCAGATTCAGTAGTTTTTGAAGTATTTGGGAAAGAGTCGGGATTGAATTTTTGAATTAATTGACTTTAATTAATAATTAATTATTAATTGAATTAAATTACTTATTTAATTCGTTATTTCATCTATCTAACTTTGTGAACTACGAAAAAGTCGTTGGACATTTTATTTAACAAGATACTCATGAAGTAGTTCGTATGGAATTATTCAACTCATTTCTTTCAATATTAATTTCTCATTTGATTATCAGTGAACTATCTCGGTAATGCGTGAGTTTCAACGAGTAACTAGGAATATTTTTTGTAAAAAATTTATTGAACTACGAAGTAGCTGATCCGTCCATTCCTTCACTATCATCACTAATTTCTCCGAAAATTAGTGAAAATTTATCAATCATGGAATTTTAGAATCACGAATTCTCACAATTGAAATAATAAATTCCTAAAAATCTGTGACATGTCCCTGGAAATTAAAACTTCCTTTCTCCGTGTAATTTTTCCGATATTCCCAATATAATTGAGCCTGAAAATTGTCAATTTGTCAATAAGTTTGTTATACGAAATACAGTCCATTGTGAAATGATAACAAAGTGCCTCGGATTTCCTGATAAATTCGTTTTAACATCCGCGTGTGCCATTAGTCATCCGCATTTTTTACTGTTTCCCACCCTACTCTGTCCCTTTTATTTATTGCACTGGCAAATATTTTTCTCTGTTTAATGTCGTTGAATGCAGTGGCTCGCACCCCACATCGCCAGCATTAATTATTTCCTCATTAATTTATTTGTTTTCCATTGTTTGTTTATAAAAACCAGACGGTATAACGAGCAATCCACAATCTGAGGACGAGGACAATGTTGAATTTTACGATGCCCAGGAGTCTGACACATTTACATTGAATATACCGAGCGGCACCACGGGCAACTCGATATCGAGAACGAGAAATAGAAACGATTCACAGGGTAGTGATGATGGATCGAGCTCAGAGGGAGATCCAGCACCAATGTCAACGAACGATACGTCTGATTCATTCCTTATTGTGACTGACTCCACTGCGGTCACACAAACATCGAGAAATAGAGAGGTGGATAATGTAAGAATTTTTTATTTGTAAAAATGGGTCATAACTCGTGAATTTTTTAAGTAGAATTCCCCTGGCACTAGGTTTTAATTCAATTTCAAGGAATTCGATTCGATATTCGATATTTTTCTTTAATTCATTGTTTATAATCATCCTCATTGCAAAAAGCAATACGACCGATGAGAATCATAGGGCCCAATTTATCAGCTGTTGAATTTTCATACTACAATGAATGATTCACTCATGTTCTAATTCCTATGCTCACTGCATAAGATTTTAATCATAATTACAATTCAATTCCTTTAAGAATGCCTTATAGAAAGGATTTATGAACAGTTGTTCTATTTTCTTATTTGAAAATTCAATTTTTCATGCTTTGGGAGTGGGAAAATTGGGGATAATTCCAAAACAGGCGTTCTGAGTAATCACGAGACTTTTTCTCTGCTAATAATTTAATTGGAAACACAAAGTATATTTTGCCATTTTTGCCACAATTTCCGGACTGTGGAGAATTAATAAAGATGAAGTACTTTGGCTCATTTTTTTCAGGGAAATCTTTTTCAAAATTTGCTGAAAATTATTTTGCAGTGATTTTATTATTTGAATGGCAAAGGTCTCGATTGTATCCCCTGTTTACAACTTTCAGGGAATATTACAATAATATGACAACATTAGAAATCTCAATTTTCGGAAATTACGACAGTTTCTTATAAATGAACAATCAATAAAAAATTAATTCCCCCTCTAAAAATAGATTTCCTTTTGAAAAAAAAAAAAATCTGCAAGTTTGAACAATTTTCCTCATTTATTCGTAAAACGAACGATTTCTCGATTCAATTTTTTGCAAATAACTCAAAAACCGTTGGGTCCATCAAAAAATGTCAATCAATATTTTTTATAGCCCCTGAAATTCTCCGCAAAAAAACTTTTTTGACATTTTTTCCTAAACCCACTAGTTCTCAACATATTCCCAAAATTGTCTCAAACAATTTTTGAATGATTTCTTCCAATCACTCATCTCGATTTTCCTAGGTTTTTTCTCGTTTCAAATTTAGTTCTATCACATTTCATTTGAATGTCAACCCCTCAGGTGAATAATGGCGGTACTAGTACCGGGGTAACCTCAGGAAAACGCAAGCGTCGAACTCGAGTCCCAGACAAGCCCAACTATCCCCTGAACTTATGGAGCATAATGAAGAACTGCATTGGCAAGGAATTATCGAAAATTCCGATGCCAGTGAATTTCTCCGAGCCATTGAGTATGCTCCAGCGTCTCACCGAGGACTACGAGTACGCAAATATCCTCGACAGGGCTGAACAGTGCACAGACAGCTGTGAACAAATGGCGTACATCGCTGCATTCACAGTCTCAACTTATTCTACGACAGCATCGAGAACTGGAAAACCATTCAATCCACTGTTGGGGGAGACTTACGAGTGCGATAGGATGGACGATTTGGGGTGGAAGGCTATTTCTGAACAGGTATCGCATCATCCGCCCATGCTGGCGCAATTCTGCGAGGGAAAAACGTGGAGGTGCTGGCAGGAGTTTACTATGGCTTCCAAATTTCGTGGAAAATATCTTCAGGTAATTCGATAATTATTTTGTTTAGATCAATTGAATGAATGTTGCCTGGGGGTTGATAGGTTTGAGACTTCTTCAGGATAGTTTTTTACTTTTTCAATTTTTTTAATTAAAAAACATTTTTTAATTGTTAGGGATAATTTTGTAATAAATAGTCCCAATGATCATTAAAATCCTCAATTGTTTTCCAAAGATTTACATTGAATTTATAAAGTTTCAAAAATGGTTTAAAAAACAATGTATTTTTTTTATTATTAACAAAATGTGATAAACTTGTTTTTTTGATTGCAACACAATTTTTTTTACATTTATAGATCATTTTGCCATAAATAGTCCCAATGTTTTCCACAGATTCACAAATAATTTTAAAAGTGAAAAAATTAATCATAAGCATTCAAGATGGTTTCAAATATTTTTAAAAAGCTGAGGATTTTTTTTAATACAAACAAAAACATTAAAAATAATCTCCAGTGACTTTCTAACACTCTAAATGACTATTAAAACCTCCAATGATTTTTCAAATGTTCAATACAAATTTTTGATAAAAAAGTGTTTTACATGTTTTTGATAATTCTCCAAAGTTGATAAAATTTCTCTAATGTTAAAAAAACGTGAAAAATTTCTTTCAATGATTTGTGACTACCTCCAATGATTTTAAATGACTTGAAAATTTTTCCTTGAATTTGAAAATTGTTTGACACACTTCAAATAACTTTTAAATAGAAAAATCGATTGAACAAATGAAAACATTTTTTTCACGTCGTTATCCATATTTTGTTTTAACTGAGATGATTTTTTATTGTTCCAGGTGATTCCTCTGGGTACAGTACACTTAGAATTCAACACTAATAAAAATCATTACACATGGCGTAAAGTAACAACGACTGTGCACAATATAATAGTAGGAAAATTATGGGTCGATCAGAGTGGTGATACGGACATAATAAATCACAGTGACGGTACAAAGTGTCATCTCAAGTACATTCCATACTCTTATTTCTCACGTGACAGTCAACGTAAGGTCAAGGGTGTCGTTATGAACGCTAATAAAGAGGTCAAGTGGGTTGTACAGGGTACATGGGATTCAAAAATTGAAATAGCACCTGTTATTAGTACTTCTGGCAGTCCAGACAATCCTGTCTACAAGACTGGACCTTATACTCTCGCTTGGAAGCGTCGAATGCCACCGTAAGTTCATTGTCCTCACCATAATTGATTTTCACAGTTCATTAACGAAATTTCATTCAATACTTCATCTTTAATAGTTGACTTAATAGTTAATTTAAGATAAAACCTTCTGGAGACATTTTTGTAGAAAATTTTGTGCACTAAAAAATAGCTGATGATTTTCTTATAAACCCAATGGTTTCAGGAATATTAACAATTTTTTAAATGTCACTTTTTAAACTTCATTCTTTTACTCTACCAATTATTTTTTAATCAACGAATTATTTCAATGGAAGACTCTAAAAATTACATGTCTCGTGACATTTTTTGATAAACCCCATTGTTGCGGATATATAAAGAAAATAAGATGGATTGAATTTATTGAAGTTATCTCCTGTGAACGAACTATTGATCGAGGCATTCTGCAATTCCAGGGAGGATTCTGATAAATACTACAATTTCACCGAGCTGGCAACTCAGTTGAACGAACCTGAGGAGGGAGTGGCACCGACTGACTCGAGATTGAGACCCGATCAGAGATTAATGGAGAATGGACACTGGGATGAGGCTAATGCTGTGAAATTGCAACTTGAGGAGAAGCAGAGGATTGTGAGGCGGACTAGAGAGGCTGAAGCTGAAAAATCAGCTGCTGAAGGTGATTTAAATATACCGTCGACCATTATTCAATGGAATTGACGTTTACAGGATAGATGTTTCGCTTTTGGTTTAAATTTAGACTTTTTGGAGTCTTTTCAACAATTCTTTGATTTCCTAGACAAATTGATATTTTGAATAATCGAAATTTTAAGTAAAATTACTGTGAATTAAATTAATTGCTTTAGGTTACTCATTTTCAATATATCAAGAATGAAAATGAAAACATTTTTAGAGAACTGAATCGATTTCATTTGCATTTTTTTCAGTTATATTTAGACTTTGAATTAATTATTTTTCATTCAAATCTATGTCACGAAGCTTTAAGAATGCTCATGCGAAATCACAAGCTCTCGCAAAAATTTTGATTCTTTTTCCAACTGATAGACAGAGTTATCTTCTTCTTTTTACCTTTATTTCGTGAAAACTACTGCGATTCAATTCTCTTAATGATCAGAAAAAATTATAGAATTTTCGTCAATTTTTTTTTCATTTTTCCCATTTTCTTATTATACGTGTTGTCAATTTCAGGAAAACCCTACACACCCTACGAAGCAGTCTGGTTCAAGAAAGAACAGGACAAGTACACAGACAGTGTCTGTCACAGCTACAACGGCGAATACTGGGACTGCAAGAACAGGGGCGACTGGAGCAGATGTCCCCAGATATTCTAGTCCTCTCAATTCTCTTCTGATTTCACTCTCAACAAAGTAACCAAACTCACGAAATTACAAAATCATGTTTTTCCTTCGAGTCGTTGACTCGCTTTCATTTTTCAATTGATTTCATTTTTTATTCAGTCATAAATTCAGGACAGTTAATCTCAGTCGGGCGAATCAAGTATTTAAATCCGTAGCGAAGGGGTGAAATGTAATTAGTGGATTTTTCGATTCTTGTTGAATGTGAAAATATCTCGATTGCGAGTGGGTTTTAAGTCACATGAGGGAAGTGATGGCTTTACCAACAAATGATGTCTTTATATTCTCTTTGAAAACACCTCATTGTGAAGACTATTCGACATTTAACAGAATGTAGAAATTTACTGATTGTTTTGAGATGAATTTTAAATGTTTAATTGTCAATTTGTTTAATTGTCAATTGTCAATTAAGGGACTTTTTTTGTAGCTGATGAAATTTCCAATGCAAAATGTCTTGAAATTCTCTCCGAAAACCACTTATTCTCAAGACAATCCAACATTTAACAGGAGTTTAAAATTTTCGGATTACATTTAGATGAATTAGAAATGTTTGTTAATTGTTAATTCATGTCGGGAGTGAGTGGAATGAAGGGTGAATGTAAGTGGAACATTTTTTGTGGCTGATGAAGAATCAAAAAACAAGAAAAGTTTTCACCTTTTCATCTTTCGTTCTAAAAGTGCTATTTTTTGTAACTGCTGGAATTTCCAACGAAACATATATGGATATCTTCATTTAAATCTCACTCTCGCAATAATTCAGTAAAATCCACTCATTATGTTCTGCCACTTCGCTACTTGTGTAGATTAGAAAACCGTATTTTTGAGTATTTCGAAAAATTTTTAATTGATTTTTAAAAACATATAATGAACAAGAGTTCACTGACGGGCTAAGAACAGGTGGAGGGGTTGAAAAAAAAATGGCAAATTCAAGAACACAGCGAGAGCTTCCACATAAATAATTTAGGAGCTTCAGACGCTTAAAAAAAAAAGAAAAATACGAACAATTGTTTAGATTTATTTTTATTGTTTTTAATGAATCTTCTTGACACAGTTTATCCAGCAATCTGCACATGATTGAGATCTGAAATAACATAATTTTTGGAAATTAATAGAGCTGAGATGTGCATGAAACTTGTTCATGAATAAATAATGTGAGAAGTATGCAGGAGAAATAAAAGTTTATTGAGTGGTTTTGAAAACAAGTGTTTCAAACGAGTCCCAAGCTGTACTATAATTTAAATAGTCAAAGTAATCGATCGGAAGATGATATATTATATCTGTAAACAAAAATTATAAATACAAATTTAATTATTAATAAAGTAATGGTTATTATTGATGAAAAATTGAGGGGTAAAATTATAAACTTATGAAAATGAGGGTCATCTGCGTATCGATGAGGGTTACGTGCTTCGTAGATCATGATTTTTTAAAATAATGCTTACAAATGATAGAAATTTCGTAATGAATTGACTCTGGGAAAAGGGATGGGTGGAAATAATCCTAAGAATTCAAAAAGTGCAGATTATTTTGCAGGTGTTTGGGGCATTTGTGGATTTAGGGAAAAATGTCAGAAGAATTTTTGGTAGCTGAGTGGAGAGGTCTCTTGATATTTTCTCATTCTCTTACTTACAAAGATATTTCGTCACTATTTGTGAAACTAAGGGAAAACTTGGAAACTTTGAAAAATGTTATATTTGGATGAAGATTTGGACTTATATATTTTTTTCTAAACAAATCACTTGCGCAGATGTTTGCAGAATAAACTGGACATTCTTGAAAAGATATGAGTCTAAAAATATAGTTCTTACAATTTCGTAAATATCTCTGGTAATGTACAATTGAGGAAAAAATGCCAAAAATCCTTTTTACTTCTTAGAATTCTCCCCGAAAAGTTCTTTGACATTTTTTCCCCAATAGCTTCTGAGATATTGGCAGAATTTTCTGCAACCCATCACTCCACCGAATAAATTAAATCCATTTTCATGCACAATGAGTACGTAACGACGAAAAAATCGCTGACTAAATTTTGCTTTCGACACTTTTTGATCGCTTGATGATGAGTTTGTTGTCATAAGTGCCTATGGTTTGTCCGTTCGCTGAAAATTGTGTAGCAGAATGCAGAAAAATACAGCAAGAAGTAATTGAGTATGGAAATGTGGAAGTGACAGATTAATTAGGTAGAACAGAGTCACTCTATGCTGTTTATGCCAACATAAATGACGTGTTAATTATTAATTAATTGATTAATTCATTGATGGAGTGGTGCGAGTGTGAGGTGAACGTGACAAAACTGTAAATTTTATATAAAGTAGTTAATGATTAAAAGAAATTATGACAACGATTTTATTATTATTTTTAGTCATTCTTTATTTAATCAATGTTGCGAAGGTAGCTGTGCCTATCCAGAGGTAAGTGGCTAATTCATACCATTTAATTAATCAACAGTAATTGAATAATTAAATCAATATCATGCTTTTTAAACTATAGAATTATCTCGTTTGCGAGAGGTTTTCAGGGAAAATGTCAAGAGATTTTCTTGTAGAGAATTGAGTAAAGCACAGAAAAGTTCTCTTAACAATTTTTCAGGATGAAAAAGTTAATATAAAAATGAAGAAAAATTCATCTGAATCGAATTAGTGGGTTTATTCCAACAGCTCGTAACTAACGTTCTATTTCAATTTAAACTTAATCTTTATTTGCGGGTTTGTTGACCTCAAGCACACATTTTTTCGAATATGAGTGAATATATCTTTCTTTCAAATAAAACTTGATTCGTTAGACATAAAAACGTCGTTTAGACATCGAGGAGAGCTAAGTCATTAAAGTAGTATACACATGACTTAAATTTTGAAGATAAAAATCTTGAATAAATTCTAAACGGAAGTTGATATGAATAAAAACATTCTGGTTGAGTGCCTGTTGAATTGGCAGTCTAATATTACTGATAATAATTAATTGAAAAGTGGCAAAATAATACAGACTCTTATGAAAAAATGAATTTTCCAAGGTTTGAGAGAAGATTAAAATGTAGAAAAGATCTGCAAAAATTGGAAAAAAAATGAAAATTTTATATCTAATACGAAAATTATCGTCAGTGTCAAACTTTTGTTATAAATAATTTATGTTTCTGGGTACCCCGAATGCACACGTTACCCTAGTCAAAGGAGAAACTATTGTTGAAGAAAATGATAGTACAGAGAATTTGGATTAATTGCTCACTCCTCAAAATTAGAGTTCATCTAAGATATTATCAATGATGAATAATTTTGTTTCGGGCATTTTAAAATTATTTATCCCAGCTACTCTCAACGACTCACGTGGACTTTAAATATACTACTTCAACCTGTAAACGAGTGGAGAAAGAAGACGATTTTCACGAGTACAACGGGGCAGGAAAATTGAAATATCTACTAAAAGTTACGCAACCTTAGTATTCGTCTCATCTCAGTGATTAAGTAACAAGAACATAATAATACAACTTTTTCCTGTATCGCTAAACGAAGTATGCACATATGCGTATATTGACTTCTGCCAAAAAAATTCCTCCAAGTTCCGGAAAAAATTCAGTACAATTCATCAATTAAATTAATTAAATTAATATTATTTATTTTATTAATAAATAATATTAATACTACTAATTATTATTTATATTTTTATTTTATTTTTAAATATAAAATTTATCAAAAATCAATTAATTCAATTATTTTTGATAAAAATAATTACATTTTTAAAAATTTTTTTAATCAATTAATTTTTTCATTTTCTTTCAACCTCGAGACTGGGCTCTCTTAAAAAAAACACACCTCTAAAAATCCCTCCAAAAACCTCATTGAACCAGCAAAATTTCAAAAACCCCGCGCTCTGCCGCCCAACCCCACTCTGCTCCGCCCCCCCCCC